CTATATAGAAAATAAAATTAAATCAAATTAACTAGACCTTCAAGGGGGGGGCGGGAGGTGCTGTTGGGGGGGGGGGGGGGAGACCCCCCTAATATAATAGCAGGGGAAACACTGCAGCTGATGATAACAGTACTTGTGATTTGACAACTGCATGTGTGTACCATAAAGAATCGATATAAATGCGGCAAACTGCAGGCCTGCTGGGTAAGAAAGTAACCACTGTTTTGCATGGAAATTTGGGTTTCATTTTCCAGTTTTTTGAGGAAGTAGGGCTATTGATGCAATAAAAGTTCATTACGCGGCACTTGCCTCTTGGCTGGCCACTTTTAAACTCGCTTTTGGAATGCCCTTCAGTGTGGGATTTCACGTTAGTCTTTTCTGTAGTAACAATAAATAAACCATAGATGGTGGCTTGTTTAAAACACTTCATGCTTCTGTCTTAAGTAAGATCTAAGACTGTTCATCTGTTCTCCTTGATCTCCACTGTGGCACACGGTGTCCACTTACTGTACAACTGTAGTAAATATTACCCTCAGTTACTTCGTCGTAGTTTTTGCATCTCGCCGGCTGCTCCTTGTTCGCTCATTTCCTGCCCTGTATCGGAGCTGTTCATTAGGCTGCGACAGATTGTCTAAATGTCACCCAGCATGCTCACTTCATAAAGCCTTCAGAGTTTCCCGCAGTGTCAAGTTCTGTCCGGCACCATCCCCCTGCCCCCCCCACCCCATCCAGTTCCTCACCAGGCGGACCCTCGCTAACAATACCCTGTTATGTGTTTCATAATAACTGAAGTATTTTTAAAAAGGCAGCATTTGATATATTTTGCTTTATCAGCAATAGAATGTCATTTCGTTTTCAGGATGTCTGTCTGTGTCAGAGATGTCTCAACCAGCTGCAGAGTGTGCTGCCCCATTTGGACCGTAGATCAGCCTCATCCTTTGATTCTGTCCTTGTTTGTTTATGCTGTGAGCAGATTTGTGCGTATTTGTGTCAGTTAGTTATAACAGGCTATGTAAGGTGACGTGAGCCTTCCTGGTGTTTTGGTTGGGAGTGTGACGCCACTGGGGACACAGGCCTGTCACACCCATTAGAGGTGGGGAAAATGTCAGTTTTATGATCAGTTTCAGTACTGGTGACTGTTCAATATCGGTTCACAAAATCCGAAGATCAGTCTTCTTAAAATATGCAGTTTTCCCGTGACTTTGAAAACATTTTTGATGAATTTTACTTGCGTTGATCCTCTTCCCATATAGGCGATGCCATTTTCTGTCAGCCGTATAGTTTGTACTGTTTTCCTAACTAAGATAAATACCTTAAAGTCAGCCACTCTTTCTTAACAACAATGATGGAATCTAGCTCCCTGAAAGCAGCACTTTTAGGCCTTAAAGTGGCTGTTTGAGAACTTTTTGGATTTAAAAACGTAAATGATTAAAAGGATCTGGAGTCTATACACTGAGCCCTTGAGGGACCATGAACAGTTTTTTTTATATGAAATGGAGCTCATGTAACCCCAAAAACGTGCTCACAATTAACTTTTTTGTAACTCTCTATTTGGAGCTCTTGAGTTTATTTTCGGTTTAATTAAATGCTACAAATTGATTTTGTGTTCTTGCCTAAAAGTAAATGTGACCGCAAAGCCAGAAGCTTGAGTGAAGTGTGCAAATACTATGGGCTTAATGGTATTAAATTTACAAATCTTCAGAATAATGTATAATGTCTGCCAGTCCAAATTGGTCATATTCTGTTACACCTGGCACTTGTCCAAACAAAGCCTCAATGGCAGATATTAGGTGTTATGATAATCTAATTCTTAATGCTGTGCATAGTAAAACCCATTTATGCCCATATCTTTATAATATTGCATTGGTAATGTCTCCCATTCCAAATTCATTATCTTCTACTCTGATTTTTTTTTTTTATATTATTATTGCATGAAATATTACATATTTTCATATTGGTTAGTTTTTTTGTTAATGAATTTCTCATTTAAAAAAATTTAACCAGTTCCAGTCTGTCAGCCATATAATGCCTCTTTAACATTTGGAAAAAATCCGTCACATAGTTTTAAGGTTATTGCCTTAACAATCAAAGCACATGCAGTGGTAGACTGATCCCAAAGAAATATGTGTTCCCTGTTAGGAGAATAATGTTCTTAACATTTCAAGATGTTAAGAAAAAGTTCTACCCACAGCCTTGTCTGGTTAATTGTTTTACTTGATCATGGACATTATATGATAGCTACACTACACTATATTGTTTTAGTTAAATAAACACAATTAACTTATTCTCAAAGAATTGTTCTAAAAAGATGGCTTGGCAAAATTAAATTGCAGCACACCAAAATTGAATTAAATCGGGCACTTATGAATTGAAGTCGGATTGAATTGTAAAGTCGGGGTTAATTCCCAGCCTAATGCCCGTGTCGTTGGAATCCCCGTGTGGGGGTTGATTTCCCCAGGCTGTGATTCAAACAGGCCTCTATCCATGAGCACTGGAATCCTCAGACGGTCTATGGTTATTATTATCCTGTGGATGGGAGAGCCTCTTACAGACAGCCCCTCTCTGAGCTTGCCTTTTAATACCAAATCATACTCTGGCCAGGTTTTGCAGTGATTATGCATTAAGTCTTTCCTCCTGTTGTTGCTTTTTAGGAAAAAAAAAATCTTTATTTTTCAAAACTATTGGTTCATGTGACAATATGGAAATGTTTTTTTTTTTTTCTCCCCTATTTTTAGTACAGGGATGTTGACATGCTTCTTTCTCATATCCCATCTTGCTTCAGCTGAGTTTGAGCACATGATCAGCCGTCCGTCCAACACCCTGGTGCATTTTTTTTGTCAGGTTATGTGCCTTTGCTCAAGGGTCCAACAGCGAGTAGAAGGTTATTGAATATTGACTTCCATCCATTTTCTGAAACCGCTAAATCCCAACTGGGGTCACAGGGAGGACCAGAGCCTATCCCGGGAACAATGGGCGCAGGCAGGAACCAACCCTGGGCAGTCGCCAACACACCACAGGGAGTACACACACACACACACATAACTACAGGGCCTGTGACTGAGGGCCCATGAGGGCCGGCCCTTGACCTCCCGGAGCTGCAACTGAGGGCCCATGAGGGCCGGCCCTTGACCTCCCGGAGCTGCAACTGAGGGCCCATGAGGGCTGGCCCTTGACGTCTCGGAGCTGCAACTGAGGGCCCGTGAGGGCCGGCCCTTGACGTCTCGGAGCTGCGACTGAGGGCCCGTGACGTCTCGGAGCTGTGACTGAGGGCCCATGAGGGCCGGCCCTTGACGTCTCGGAGCTGCGACTGAGGGCCCGTGAGGGCCGGCCCACACACCCCTCTGACCCCCTGGAACAGGTGCTCTTGCTCTGGGTGCTTTCCCACTTGGCCCAGCGCTGGTCTCAAATATCAGGCTAATCTGGCTTTAGAGAGATGTGACACATATTCCTTGGGGTACACCCCCCCCCCCCCGCCCCCCCACCGCAGTACTCTCCTTTGACATCCAAAGTAAACAAGTCATAACATTTACATTAATATTATTCAATAATTATTCAAACACAACACTTTGCTTTTTAAAGAGTGTCAGTCATGACTGTACAAGCAGAGCAGAGAGGAGGCTTAGGCCTGCTACTGCTTTGTATGACATCAAGCTTTATTTGCAGTTTATACAAGTATGAGTACAGCTACACTGGAATGTCTTAGCACAGCCTAGCTTTACTTTCTATTTCCTTTTTTAAAGACGCACTCGTTTAGAGGTGTGTGTGAAGCTTGTGGTCCGAGTGCAGGGTCAGCCATTCATCCAGCGCCCCGGAACATTTTTTTTAGGGGGTTAAGTTCCTGGCACAAGGGCAAGGAATGACCAGCCCTGGGATCTGAACCTGTCACTTTTCGATCACAGCCACGGAGGCTTCACCCACCGAGCCGCTCGATGCCTGCAATCTGAATTGCCTGGTTTCCTGCACCAGTTAGTCATTTTGCATAATAGTCACTTTGCTGTTGGGCCTTTGAGCAAATCCCATAACCTGAGAAAAAATGCAGCAGAGTGCTGGGTGAATGACTGGCCCTGTGCTCAGACACAACACGGAAATCTCCAGTTGCTGATCTTTTTTCTTTGTTCACTCAGTATAATTAAGGGGGCTTAATGAATCGATGTGCCCGTACTTGATCTGTAATGTCCCCTGAGTAATCATAGAAACTTGGAAACCTCCTCCTGCATTAATATGGGTAAGTAAATGCAGATATTTCCAGGTGGGTCTTTAGGCCTTAAAGTGGATGTTTGGGAGCTTTTTTGGATTTATGAACTTAGATGATAAAGAGGATCTGGAGTCTATACACTGAGCCCTGGAGGAGCCACGAGCATTTTTTTTTGTGGGAACAATGGGTACCTTTTTCCTGCGTGTTTTTGGTTTTGTTTTTGTTTTTGTTTTTGTTTTGTTTTTGTTTTTATTGGTGGCCCCAGAATCAATTGGGAGTGGTCAGCTTGTGTGTTTCCAGACACCTTTCTGTGCTCCATGGCTGTACTGATCTGTCATGTAAGCCTTTGCACCTTTACCCTTCCTGTTAGCATTACAGAATATGGCTGTTTTCCTCTTACTTAATGTAACTTCAGAACAAAAGAACCCTTTTCATAATCTCTGTATGCTGCAGTTTGCGATTTCCAGGTGTCTGGTTGCCCCTGAGACACAAGCACCACAATTGCTACTTGCCTCATTTGTCTTGACCGTTCCTATGCTCAGCCACAAAGGAAATGTGCCGCTTGACTTTGTCTACATGCTGTGTATGTTCAGTTGTAGCCCCACGATTGGCTGTTTTGCATTGACAAGCAGAGGTACCTCATAAAGTGGCCATTGTATCCATCGCCCATGAGTTTGTTTCCTCTCAGTCTTTTAGTGGCAGCACACAGTAGTCAGAGTGTAGCGTACATAAATGAATTGGGTCTGTGTGAGGTGAACAATGTATAATATACTTCGTACTGAACATAATTTGTTTTGTCCCCCAGATCTTGAACCTGATGACAGCACCCCTTTCTACATCCTCAGCGTTGGCCATCCGACTTCTGCGGGCAACCTGCCCCCTGGAATTGCATGCCAAGGTGCACAGACGTCCTCGCCAGTCGCTTCTGCAGCTCCTCAACTACATGGCCCCCGGACCTGTGACCTTGGCTATGGAGTCCAGACCTGCAAGTACAACTCGGCCATGAGCCCCAAGGCCTTTGAGTGCCCCAGCATCCAGATCACGTCCATCTCCCCCAACTTCCAGCAGGACTTCGAGGCTAATGATGATGGCTTGCAGGTCAAAGGGCCAAAGGCTGGCTGCCGTGAGCATCCCTCCGGCCGGGACCAGCTATACCTGCCCGTCGAGCATTCGTACCGGGACACCTCCCTGAGCCCCAGCCCCTGCAGCAGCATCTCCTCCCGGAGCTGGTTTTCCGACGCCTCCTCCTGCGAATCCTTCTCCCACGTCTACGATGACGTAGACTCTGAGCTCAATGAGGCGACGGCTCGCTTCACACTGGGCTCCCCCCTCGCCTCTCCGCTCGCCTCCCCCCGCTGCTCCCCGCAGGCCGGCCCGGCAGAGGAGCCCTGGCAGCTGCACCTTGCCAGCTTCCCCCCCCCACCGTCGCCCCGTCAGTCCCCCTGCCACTCTCCCCGCACCAGCGTGACGGATGAGAACTGGCTAAGCCCACGGCCCTCCTCCCGGCCCTCCTCCCGGCCCACGTCCCCCTGCGGAAAGAGGCGCCACTCCAGCGCCGACATCTGTTACCCCGGTTCTGCCTCCCCCCACCACTCCCCCACCCCGACACCTGGCCACTCCCCCAGGGGCAGTGTGACGGAGGATACCTGGGCTGGCTCTACCTCGCTCGGGGGCTCCCCTTTCCAGTGCTGCCCTTCTGAACTAGATATTCCTTCCAAGACGAGGAAAACATCCCAGGACCAGACAGCACTGCTCGCTGACTCAGGCCTAGAGGACGCCTGCTGCGTGTCCCCCTCGCTGGATTCGCCGGTTGAGGATGTAACTCATAGCTTGAAGAAGGATGTCTCCGGGGAGCACTTCCTGTCTGTCCCCTCACATTTCACATGGAGCAAACCCAAGCCGGGCCACACCCCCATCTTCAGGTACCCTACCTCTTTGACCGCGTCATAATGAGCAGTGCTCTCTGAGCATGTGCTCATCAGCCACGTCGTTGATGATGTCATGATGAACTGTGCTTCTTTTAAGCATGTGCACACACATCAGCCATAATCAAGCATCATTAAATCTTCTCTCATGACACATGTGACCTCCAGTCCACCCTGAAATTGCCCAGTCCCAATCCTTTGTTCCGTTTGTTCCGTTCAAATTTTCATTTGTGCTGCTTCCATTTCTGAGATACAAATGTTTGTTTACATGGTCACATCATACCACTGTGAAGCTGCCCCCCCTCCCATCTCCGTTCGATTTGAACCAAACCGGTCCCAATCATTTGTGCTATGATCCATTGAAATTTTCATTTGTGCTGCTTTAATTTCTGAGATATAAATTTTTGTTTACATGATGATGTCACCATCACAAGTTGGCACCACATCAGTTTCCAGTTTAGGCCAAACTGGTCTCTATCGTTTGTGCTGCATTGTGCCGTTTATAAATGTTTGTGCTGTTATTTGAGTTATGCCTTTTGGTTTATGCCATTCAAAGATCGCTGCATAGTGCTCATGCTCACGTTCCTCGTATAAACAAAAGGTGGAATGTCCGATGCCTTCTTGACAATGCTGTAGACTGTCAGCCCCGAGCCCATACCCCATTTTAGGATTGCGCTCAGGAAATTCGGATTCTCAGCTGCCGTCACCCGTCTGCATTTTAAGTATAGCCTTTGTCCATGTTTTGCTACTACTATCATCATTTTGTTTAAAAAAAAATTTGCAACATGTTTTGTGGGGGCACACACTTGTCTTGATGATTAAAATAAATGGAAATGACCAGTTATATGTATATATTCTGTCTATGTATATCGCATAACTACTTGTTACTGCTTTCATTAAAATGTGCAAAATAGTTTTGTGCTTCAACTTCTATTTCATAGGTTGATAAATATAATTTTTAAAATTTATATTTAACTTTAAGATTTTAATCGATGATCACAGGAAAGCACAATATACAGAGTTTTATAATGTACAGTACAGGCAAAATGACAAGTGTTAATCATCATACTGTAGCAACATACTGTTTAGGTCTGTGCATGATTTACCTACTGAAAAAGGTAACTGTTTATTTGTGATGCTCCATGCCATTGTAGGTGGCACACTGTCATTTTGTCCCCTTCACCTTAAAACCCACTTACCGTACCAGTGATATGCCCCCACCTGTTACATTTCCATGATTGGGGGGGGTTCCCCCTGGGGGAATTTAATTGTGAGCATGGGCAAAATAGGGCAATGTAATGTAACGGCACAAACCAAACAATAAAATAATCAGAAACAATAAAAGCAAAAACCATTTCTAAGCGGCACAGACTTGGCACAAACGAGACCGTTTGTTCAAAATCAGATGCCAATGGGGGGGCCAACTTTATGGTGGTGTCATCATCGTGTTAAACATTTATATCTCAGAAAATAAGAAGCCGAAATAAACATTTCGATGACACAGTCCAGCCCAAACACAGCACAATGGACTGAGACTGTTTTGGCTGAAATCTGAAACATGGGGGCCCAACATGATGCCGGTGACCCCAAGTTTCTGGGACTGGAGAACCTGCAAGGAATCGTCCTGGCCCATGTTAGATAAGTTCCAAGGTTTCCACAAGCATCTCCCATTTTTATTTTCTTTCGGACGTCGATAGGATTCTTGTTAGCAGTTGTATTTATAATTAGCATTTTTTTTTTTAGCTATGGAAATGCAGATTGTCTCTTTGTGGAAATTGAAGTGCAAACTTTTCAGCTTGCCAAAAATTCAGTCCCTAAAAAATTAGTACAATCGAAAGAGTAGCATTCCGAATACCATTCCTTCCAGCTGAAAATCAGTAATCACTGTATGCACACTTTTTCAGCCGTCCCGGTTAAGAAACGTTGCTTATAGGAGGTTCCGACTCTTGTTTGTCCTGGGACTGTCTGCCTGGCAGCTTTGCTGTGGTTAATGAGAAATTTTGGCTCCTGAAATCCAGTGACAAACTATATGTAGTTTCTGTGTAAAAGAGCAATTTAGTCTGGTGGTCTTTGCCGAATCTTTCAACACACATGGGTCTGGACAATAAGCCTGATAGATCTCTATAGAAGCCAAATCTCCTTAAATGGGAGCAGATCATTAATATTTTATTATTTTACATTAACTTGCAATCATTGAAAAACTAAACAAAACCAACCAAGCAGTTGTGGCATTTTCCTCTTTAAACAGATTTTTGTTTGCTTGTGGAACAAGCTGGATGTGTCGGCAGGCTTTGTGTAATAGCCATTATGTTCCTGTGCCATATTGCTGCTGCAGCGTGACGGGAAGCGGCCGTTCCGGGCTGTAAATAGACCAGGAACACACCTGCGTGGCGACGGTGCCAGACGCAGCTGGGAGTCTCTCCTTCCCTTTTTTCTGCAGCAGTGCGCGTGGGGGTCAGACCCCAATAGCATACTGTGCTAATGTTCTGTGCCTGTAAAGTGGCTAGTTAACGTGAGTGGTAGTGCTTATTGGGAGCATGCACTGCAGGCATCAGCGAGGTATTTAGCGGTGTTTTGCACACTGGATTTTGCACACCACTCCTCAGTCCTGCACTTGGAATCCCCTGAGCCAGCGACTGTGTGTTTCCCTTACAGGGCGTCCTCGCTGCCCCCCCTGGATTGGCCCCTACCCAGCCAGTTTGGCCAGTATGAGCTGAAGATCGAGGTGCACCCCAAGGCCCACCACAGGGCCCACTATGAAACGGAGGGGAGCCGGGGAGCCGTCAAGGCATCTACGGGGGGGCATCCGGTGGTCAAGGTGAGCGTCTCTGGACCCCCTCCTGCTGAGGTGTGCTCAGGCTTGGAGAGCAGATTGGATGTTTTAGTCTTGGGCGTAACTGTGTGCACACAGTCTGAACACTGTAGGACAAAATCCCGCATAATCACACGTGAACTAAATGCACATTGAGAGACACTGACTTTGGTGGGTCTCCCCCCCTGTATAACGTGGCTGTTTTATCACAGATCTGGGATGGTTATTCTGTGATGTACAGATATCCCAAAAGCCATTGCAGTGTGTGTGTCCTCTTCGGTGTCCCACGCTGGCGAGCCCGAGTTATCACCTGTGTGATGTCACTGTCACAGGCTGGCCTGTGTTTGGCCTTGGTGTCGGGTGAACAGCATGCAGGTTGGCTTGTTACTCTTATTGGTTGAATCCCGCTGAAGCTGAAATTTGGAAGGGTGCTGTTGTCCTGATGAAAGTGTAAGACACCCCCGCGGGTGGGTGACGTGCATTATTGATGCCTCGCGCTCCGCTCTTTGTCCCGTTGCTGCTGCAGTGTGCTTAGGCAGGAGTTCCTTTGCTTATCATTTCAGCCGCTGCTGCCTGGAGGCTCTGTGTCTGAGTGTGAGCGCCTGTGTTTGGCCGCCGTCGTCACACTCAGATGGGGGTTGAGGCCAGAGGGAGATGCTTTCCAGTCTGATGTTGCCTGCAGTGCATGTGTGTTTCTTTGGTAGTTTTGAACAGACCCGGAAAGCCTGAAATGATACAAAACTTAAATGTTTTAAGTTGAAGCTTAACTGGAAAAGAGAACTTCTTATTCTCTCAGTGCTTTATACACATTCTCATCTTACTTGGTTGTCAGTGATATATGGTAAATTATACGATACATATGCCCCCTTCAACATTGACCTTAATCATACAATGCAAGTCTTGTATGACCTGTATTAAAACCACATCTGGTCTCCTATCATAAAGAAGTGGTCTGTAAATGTACAGTTTATACCAATCTTATTAAAGCCATACCAGAAAGTCACTCAGTGAACACAAGCTCTACAGCTGCATACATTTACCACGTCCTGCTTGTAGGTCACATGCAGAATGTTGCTCAGAGCAAACTGGAGAGTCAGACTCAGGTGAATATGCACAGGACAGCCTGTTGCATCACATCTGTGGCTAGACGACTTGTAAGCCCATATCCTGTCTAGCAGGGGTATCCTTTTGGCGTAATTAATCTGTTTAATGAATAATTTTTTCTCTAAGTATGATCCCTTCATGTTTGTGAAGCGTGTAGCATCTGGTGGCGTCCCACCCCCTAACGCACCGGTGTCATGTGTCCTCAGTCTGTGTTGTGGGGTCCCCGCACTGTGTAATGTCACACTTAAGACTTAAAACGCAAGCCGTGAAATATACAGTAATAATTGGTTCATATTATGGGTGTAAATCGGTAGCCCCGAGGCAGTTCGAATTAATTACGATTATTGAGGGAAAAAATTTGGGAACAAATCTTTAATTTCCATCATGATTCAATTTGGCCGAATATTCAATTTTGATAGCCTAAATTCAAACCTTATAATTTCACTGAAAAAAATTAACATTACTATGGGAATTAATGTTAACGGAATGTTTAGAAAGTAGAATCTCAGAACATTTATTGTTATTAAACAGGGAGAACATGCCACTTTAAAACTAAGCACATCTACTATACTGACTGGGGGTTTGCTAGCGGTGAAACTTGTCGAGCTTGTCAGCATGAATTAGCAGAATGATGTTACATCATGTTTTATTCTGTGGAAAACAAAAAATCTGTTGGCCAGATTTATAATTAATTATAAATATGCTTTGGCCTGATACTTCGAAACTACTTTTAAGTGGTGAATGGGCAACAAAATCCCTTGTTCTCTGCTACAGAAAATGGCTGCTCATCCAATGCATTTATCTCCATTTTTAAGTAGTTAATTGTGTCTTTAGCTGTGGTGCTGCTATCTTTGAATATTGTTCAAGTTTAAATATTGGCTGGCAGTATAGCCAGCAGCCAGTGTCCTGATTTTTAACAAATATTGGCCAATACCGACATGTCACCCAGCATGCTGTGCATTTTTAAGGCTAACATTCCTTTTTACTTGGCAAGCTAATTAGTCACTTCGGGGACTCGACCATCGCTATCATAACTGGCAAAGAGGACGACTTTTATGCACGACAAAATTTCGGGTGTTTCCCGAAAGCATCGTAGTGCAAATATCATCTTGACCATCAGAGAAAGCGTTCTGTGCTACAAGACAGGAGATTTTCCCAAAAACATCAAAGTGCTAAGATCATCAGGCAGTGGAGGCTCTGTGCTTTGGAAGTCTGTGGGCCTGCACTGCTACTTTGTGCATCTGCCCACAGCACGTGAACGTGAACGTATCCTTTGTTATTCCACAAAAAATCTGATTTTACCATGTCATATTGACACAATGAATCACTATTTTAATAATCAGTTCATCATGTTGTATGAATGCATCTTCACACACCCCTTAATGGGATGGATGGATGGATATTGTAATTAAACAACAAAATTTTGTTTGGCACTTTCACAAGGCAGCATAATGAACAAAATGTATGTAAATAGAACAATGAATAGAAGTCAATGACAATATTTAAATACTAAAATATAGAACATAATACAGTGTTATACAATATTAGTCCTGAGTGAGTCAGCCAGTCTTTTTATCAGTGTTGTTCATATAAAAATCTGCTGCTGTTTGGCAGTTGCATGCTTCTCAGTTTAAATGTTTGCAAAGTTCATGTTTGAGGTTAGTTTGAGGTTACGGATCTTACTTTATCATTCCTTATATAATCAAGTTGTTGTGATTTGCTGGAATCAAACATAAAACTGATATGTCTTTAAAGGGCATTTCAGCTTTGAGGCAGAGGCAGCCTTTTCCTGCAAAGAAGCCGTACACCCTGATGAGGAGTGACTGCAAATCCCTGTGCTTCTCTGTGTTGACCTTGTTCAAACCTCCTTCCAGTTAAAATACTGCACCGCTAACATGCAGTAATGGTACCTGGGAGTGCAGGGGCCCAGGAAAGCAGCCGCATTTGCCCGTGACCTTGAGTCTCTGGCCCAGTGGCTGGAATTTTCACTTGCGCATGCACTGACCCTCGCCATGGCAACAGTGGCAAAACACAGACACAGCCAGGCAGGCTTCCTGCGTCAATCACCATGTGCCTGTGAGTAAAGGGGAATGGTTAGCACATGCTCTGACAATGCACATGCTAGCCCTGTGCTGTGTTCTGGTGGGGAGGGGTTGGGGGGGTTAGGTTGGGGAGCTCGCATTTGGGGGCCTTTGTTCTTATTCAGTAAACATCAGACATTGAAATCACTGCTATTCCTCACTGAGTCACTTAGTACTATTTCTGGCTCTGTGCGACAGATGCAAGCCGGCTTTATATAGAGCCACATATGTAATATTATCCAACACTTTTATTTTAGTTTGAGTTTACTATTCTAGCCTTTAGGCCATGCAACTGTTTTCCCTGACTGGTATTAATGTCACCAGTTTAATATAACTGCCGATTCATCAGCTCTTACTCTCCATCTGCTGCGATCATGTTTTCAAAGCATTTTAAAAGGCAATGATGACTCCATCTACTGTCCTAGGATACTGGTGGCAGGTGTTTCTCCTCTATGCTCTGCCATGATCAGTTCCTTTTGTCTCTAATTTGTTCGTTTGGTCTCGGGGGGAAAAAAAAATGAAATCTTCCATCTAGGGCTGCAAAAAAGTTATTGTTATAGTTGGTCAATCCTGTGATCCGGTAACCAAACCAATCGATTAGCTGGGCCAAAACACAGGGTTCAAAGACAAGTGGAAAAGCTTTATTTAGGTATTTCTTAAGTCACAGTTTTAACGAAAACTTTACAGAGTGTGTAGAAAATCATCTTTGCGCCCTGACTTAGCGTTGTTGCAGCACGTATCAGGCTGTAGTTTCATGTTTTGACTTCCCTGTGTGTTGTGTGTGGCGCCCCCTCAGTATGAAGAGTCAAAAGAGTCTCTGTCAGTCACTGAAAAGGCTCCTCAGCTGTTTCACTGCCAGGGCCAATGAGAACCCAGCTACCAGTGCCCTCAAGTGTCAAAATAATGAGGCTGTCTTTCTGTGCTTGGTGCCCTGGCCATTCTTGGACACCGCTCTGGGACCTCACGGTGGGGCCCCTGGGTTCAGTCGCTGTCACATTAAGTTTTTATTTTGCCTCTTCTGGGGAACTTGGAAGTGAAATAATAATATGACCCAATTTTAATGAGGTTTAGGATATGTTGAGATATTTTTAAGTGACACCCTTCATAATGTTTGTGAATTTTACTCCCAATATTGAAGCTAAGTTTGCACCAACTGCTAAATTCTCTGAATGTACCCTCTGAGTTTACTTGCAACCTTTATGAATAATTATGCTAAGTTATACTAAGAAAGTCCATTGGTAATCCATGGTTTTTAATAACCAGTTTTAGATGTTATCTGGATCGCTTTCTGGGTTTCTGTTTGTAACACAGTCCGGTGTGACTATCATTACCTGTTCCAGCTAGACATGCTTTGTTTTGTTTTTGCAATTTTTTGCGCTTTTTTTTTTGCATCACGTTTCCTCTGAAAGTGATTTTGTTGTAGTGCCCCACTGCCTCTGGGCTCACACTACCTGCATATCAAGGCTGTGACACCCTTTCCATATCAGAAAAGGTACTTCCTGACTCTAACCTTCCCGCCAGAGGTCACTCATATTTTCACCTGCTTTTTTTGTAAATAATATACTTTTAAAAATCCATATAGCTTTGAAACATTAGCTTTACAATTCCAAGAAATGAGGGTGGAGTATGTTCTGTTTCTTGGAGATACGAAGAGGGATCACTGCTAGCTTGGGAGATACTGCAGAGTCAGCTTGGGCAGTGCTGATGTCACGGCACTGATTTATGATTATTGTTTTTGTTATTGTTTTCCTCTCTCTCATTCCCATTTCAATTTAGTTGGAAATCCATATAATTTCCTCACTGATGGAAGCAGTTCTGTCCCAGCTAGATATGGTCTTGCTTGATGGTTTCATCTGAAACTTATGTGACAGTCTCTTTTACCAGGTATCACTGCCTTTATGTTAAAGATCTTTCAGTAAACTGAAATAAGCGTGGAACATTTTTTTCCCAATTTAGCTGTACACTCAGCCGAATATATATGGGGGTAAGATCCCAGCGAATGTGAAAATTTGTGAATAGTTCTTTGGTCCATCAGAGCTGTGAGAATCCGCAGTCACAGGCACAGCTAATACGTGAAGGAGGCAGGTTGCTGAGATAAAGATCCCTTAGTTCTTTTATTTTTAAAAACAAAAATAACTTTTAATATTAAAGACATAGTACACACTTGCACTGACAGATATTAAATAATGCTGGTATTTATATTATGTGATCCAAATCATCTTCAGTATTGTTGGTCCAACCTAGCTATTTCTAGTTTACAGGTCATCTGGTTGTTGCTGTAATCTTTCGGCACGCTCCGAAAATATTCCCATTTAATTGTTGATGGCCACCTCTTGAATAACCAAAGCCGCAAATGTCAAATTTGCCGAATCTTGAAAAAATTAAATATATGCTGAGACCTCGGCCCAGTAGGTAAATGACAGGGTGTCACTGTGTCATTATCCTGTGACACTGAATGCAGGCCTGTGAGCCTTAGAGGCTGTGCCGGGTCTGAGCGCCTCTGTTTTTAACACTGTGCCACCAGTGGAGACATCTGGCAGCATGTGCTGTTAGTGCCACTTACAGCACTGTATGCCAGGGTCCAGTCAACGGGGGTCTTGTTTTCTCACTTGCAACCGCAGCAGTTTTAGGGATGGTCGTGGCAGTGAAGGCCTGTGCGTCTCTCCCTTTCACCCCACGTGTAGTACTGGGCCTGGCTTCTGTCCTGATACACAGTTAGAACATTTGGCTGTAGAGTATTGAGTATTGTGCTGCCGCCGGAATAATGTGTGATTATAATGTACTGTCTGCCTTGCTTGTACTTGTTCTTTGGACAAAAGTCTCTTCTTAATGAATGTAAATGTAAATGAGTAGTGTTGTCTTTGAGCCCGAAGCATATGATGTACTACAGCTAATTGTTCATGCATGGGTTGTTTTTAAACTTTTGTTGCCTTATTCTGTCTCCATTTTGCCCCAGGTGTTTGGTTTAATGGTATGTTGTTAACTTGTACTTGGCAAAGCTGGACTCAAATTTTTTTTTTTTTATGAACCATCTCAGGTCTGCAGCTCAATCAATCAGTCAATCAATCTATCAGTCAGTTTTATTTTGTATAGCGTTACATACAGCTCGATTCTTGCATGGTTGAGGTGGCCTATTGGTGGGCATGGATGGATGAATGGATGGATGGATGCTGCTCACACTTCATCGTCTTTTCTGTTGCAGCTTATAGGCTACAATGAAAAGCCAGTCAGCCTGCAAATGTTCATCGGCACTGCCGACGACCGTTACCTTCGACCACATGCCTTCTATCAGGTGCACAGAATCACCGGGAAGACGGTCGCCACCGCGAGCCAGGAGATCATCATCTCCAGCACTAAAGTTCTTGAAATCCCTCTGCTTCCAGAAAATAATATGTCAGCCAGGTATTTGCCGGAATGTCAGTGCACTTGGTGATGGTATTAAACAGCATTGCTGCCCAAACCATTAATTATAAACATATGTATAAATTAGGTACACAAAAATTACAGTACCTCGGTTTTGAAGTCACGGTTCAGTAAGTTTTCGGTGCAGAGGGGGTAAAACAAACAAAACATAAATTGCTTCTTTTTTTCTTTATTAAACAGTGGTTACGGAACAAAGTATGACTGTCTTGAATAAAAGTCTGTCAATACTGCTGCAACCTACTAATAAAAAACTAAAATTTACTTAAAGTAAATCAAAATAAATGTTCATTCAAGTAAATAAAAATAAAATACACAGGCACACACACACAGGTTCCGCATTTGCTGCATTTATTCAGTACATGTGCGTACCGAACCGAAAGACCTGTACCGAAAATTTTTGGTACAAATACGTGTTTCGTTACACTCCTAGTATAAATGTATCTTCCATCGTTAATTGAATACTTATTTTCACCTGAGTCCGAAGCATAATTTCCCTTAATTTCATTTTACATTCAATAGATTTAAATTTGATATTCTCATGACCTGTGCAGTGTAGAGTGTGTTTTCCTTAGTGTTGATTTCTGTGTCCTGTGTGCCCTTCCTACCACAGCATCGACTGTGCTGGGATTTTGAAGCTGCGCAATTCGGACATCGAGCTGAGGAAGGGGGAGACCGACATCGGGCGCAAGAACACGCGAGTCCGGGTGGTGTTCCGGGTTCATATCCCGCAGCCGGCAGGAAAAGTGCTGTCTCTGCAGGCGGCCTCTATCCCCGTCGAGTGCTGTGAGTGTCCTGAAGCCGCCCCCAGACCGAACACGCACACGCACACGCACACGCCAGTATGCCAAGCGCCGTGTGTCGCACTCTGGGTTATGAAAGTCACCGTTTCAAATCCTGTGGTCAACAGAGTAGTGACATTAGGGTCAGACCAATAGACTCTCTCTCATCTGTATGTGACACACGCTGTCAAAACAATAAAACTGCAGAAGCTGCGCATACAATCGCAGACATCCAGGTGCACCATTCATCCGCTGGTACTGATACACCAGATGAGTCCAGATTAGAGTGGGACTGTATCAATTGATTATAAATCTCCAAAGTGCAGGTGCTCTATTGAATTAAACTGCAGATATGTTTGTTATACACAAAAATGGTTCAGTGGTGTCCCTGGTTGTATTAACAAATGCATGTCTTTTAATTGTCTGGATACATGTGCTGCGATGAAAAGTGTACCAGTGGTAAATGGTTCTCATCTGCTTTTACAGATTTGTTGATAAATGCTCCCATATAGAGCTGCCCAGATTTTATGTAATGAATTGAGATTTCAGTCTAAAAATGCCAGGCACATGAAATAAGCACTTTTTAATATTAAATAAGTATGTAGATATCTAGTTTTATTGGAGATTCTCCCTTTCACATGACATACACATTTTTCCCGAAAATACAAAATTCTGGTTTAAATCCCTCATCTCTCCGTCTCGTCGTGTCCCTCTATGCCTGTTTAAAATCCCTCATCTCTCTGTCTGGTGCCCCATGTAACTGGCTTGTGCTGCAGCCCAGCGCTCTGCACAGGAACTACCCCATGTGGAGAAGAGCAGCCCGAACAGCTGCTCTGTCGACGGAGGGGAGGAGGTGCTCATCACCGGCTCCAACTTCTTTCCAGAGACCAAAGTCATCTTCCTGGAGAAGGGGCCAGGTGATATTTCTCTATCCTGATCTTTAGCTCTCCCTCATTTTTTTTTCTTAGGAAATGTTACCGTTTGACAGTTGTGCTGGTTCTCTTATAGTGTTTCATGGTCCATGGTCATGCGTTCATCTGTAACAGCAAGCCGCAGATTGACAAACACAAATAGTGGCTCACCCAGGGAATGCGGCTTGGATTGGATTGGACTGGATTAAATTTGATTAGATTCGATTTGATTATATAAAATTACATTAATCTCAAGGGAAATTGTTACTCTTGGTCCTCTGCCTGAACATCTGAGTTTATTTGACTAGCCCTAAGTGGGCCACTTGAGGTATTTTTTGGAGACAAAACAGAAGTGAGAACACAGGGCCCCTGTTTTGCAGGCTGAGATCCTAGGCAAAAATAGAAAATGGAGATTGCTCACCTTGGGTAACGCAGCCATTGTATCTGCAGGCTACCCCAAGATTTTGAGGGTCTAACATACCTTAAAACGCAATCACTGTCTCTGCCTCACTGTTTCTTTAATTGACATTTTTACGGCTGTTTTGTAAACTAGAGGAATCAAATTTGGATAGAATGTGATGAGTCCAAGATTTCAAGAATTGGAACATATCACTCACTGGATTATCTGCTACCATTGTGAAGAGTAAAAGATAATTTGCGCTAAAGGAGTATTTTAACAATTTTAATTTGAAATTTTATTTTAATAAAGGAATATTTTAGATTCTGTCAGAACAACTCCTCCCACACCCCGAAGCTGTACAATCTCAGCACTAGGCTTAAAGCCAGTTCATATTTCACTTTTCCGTGTGCAGTTTCGGTTGTGGACGCCAACACTGCGCCTACACTAGACTATGCCATGCTGTCCATTGTTTATTTTTATTATTACTCTGCATTCGTTAATTTGTTCATAAATCACAAACTTTTGGGTTGTAACATTTGTACAACTATTGCGTAACTTTTTGGTGAGCAATGGCTACCAGAATGATATAAAGTACAGTGTATTACCTGATATTTTCAATAAAAAAAGCACTATCACCAACAAACGATGCTGTCACAGCGAATGCGAGGCTGAGACTGAAGCGTTACCCTTTGTTTCCGCTGAGAGACGTGCCGCGAGACTCATTTCCCCATGCGTATAAGTTATCTTAGGTCGGCGTTCACGGTTCGACTTCTGAGATTCAGATCGAGTTCTAGGTAATTTTTTTTTCAAAGTAGTTGGTTTGACTTTTAAGAAATTCGAGTTCTAATGAGTTCGACAACTGAGGTACCATTTAATAATGCAGTATTAAAGTCCAGTTTCCACAGTTAGTCTTGTATAGGTTGTGCATGAAAAAACAGACTCCCTCTGCGAAGTGGTGTATTAGTGATGCCCAAACTTTGAGTTATTAAAGATTCCTGTGTCAGATCTTATAGTATTTACAATGTATTTATAATAATTCACGTCATGTGTTCCATTGGTCCACTCTGCTGGGAATAAAGCATATTGCTCCTTTCTCCCCTCTTCCAGATGGGCGTTCTCAGTGGGAAGTTGAAGCAAGAGTGATACGAGAGAAAAGTCAAGGGGTGAGTAAAAAAAAATACTCACAAGTGTATGTGTGATAATGCATTAAAGAATGTCATGTAACATTAGACAATGGAATACTTCCTTCTTTATCTGGCACAAAAAAAATCGGAGATGTAAAATCCTTTCTGCTTAAACAACCAGCTTTAATGCACTGGAATAGACTGAATTCTCGCTTTGTTTGTAGTGTAACATTGTGGTGGAGGTTCCCCCGTACCACAGCAAGGCTGCCAGCTCTGCCATTCAGGTGCAATTCTACGCGTGCAATGGGAAGAGGAAGCGCAGCCAGGCTCAGCGCTTCACCTATCTGCCAGGTACTGCCCACCCCAGCGGTGCCTTCGGCTTGCCCACGCGTCCTCTTGCCCCCTGACTCCTCCTGCAGCATGTTCCCTTCAGCTCAGCAGCTATGTGTGAAGGGCTTATGCAGAGATTATGCCACCTTTCAGCCACCGAGGATTAAATATTCAAATTAAGAGCTCGCAAACTTCTACTATGCAATAATTTGGAATTACATGGAATTCATCAGAAATTATTCTACAATAAGCACAATGCATTCTTTAATAACCATTTATATAAGAGGAAAAAAAAGAAATCCGTGCCCTGCCATGGGATATTCCCTGTGTTGCGCCCGTATCTTCCGGGACAGGCTTTGGACCTCTGCAACTCTGAATAGGACAAACGGGTACAGGAAATGGATATAAGGAAATTCATCCATTTTCTAACAGCTTATTCAGTACCATACCATCCAGTATTATAGGGCACAGGGCAGGGGAACGGCCTGAACAGGATGCCAGTTCATTACAGGGCACATAGACTATGGGCAATTTAAAGATGCCAGTTTACAATACAAAGCCCCTGACTGTAGAAAGCAGCTGGACCCCTGAAGGCAAAGACCTGAACCCAGCTGAGCACCTGCAGAAGGAATCTGTCGCGGTGGGACTCCTGTCTGACAATTTTGCAGTGATAACTTACTGGCGTTGATCCCCAAAAAGGTGTTAATCATTGTTATTACTGTCTCTGTCTCTGTGTGGGGCATTCTCCTGAGCATACCTTCAGTCCACTTTCCTGCGTTTGTCTTCGGAATATGTTTCTTTAGCAAATGCAGGATGATGACCTTACCCTGTCTCTCTCCTGTTTAGTGTCAGTGAAACAGGAACATAAAGATGAAGCGGACTTGTCGTCTACCTCCTTGCCCCTGGCCCAGCCCACCAGCGTTCCAGGGCTCCACCCAGCCAGGGCTCTTCTGCTGCCACCCGACCCGGTGCCCCAGCACGGCGGCCTGCCCCCGGGCCTGCTGCCTGGCAAGCCATCCCTCCAGGCTCTGTACTCTCAGATGAGCTCTTGCTCATTCCAGCTCCTGGCTCAGCCCCCGTGCCGCGGGCTTCCCCCGGGCCCTGACTGTCCACTGATCAGGCCGCCCTTGGCGTTCCCGGCGCCCCCAGGGCCACAGCAGAGGCCCCCATACCAGGCCCTCCCACACAGCCTGATGAATAGCTGTCAGCCCAGTGTTCCCCTGAGCACAGCCCCTGCTCCGGCCTTCCAGCAGCTCTCCTTACAAACCGAGTCTTCGGCCTCTCAGCTCCTGGCATTTGGCGCCGGCTTCACCTCCTCAGCCACGATTTCCGGCTCTGCTTCCCCTTCGGTCCCCGGCCAGCCCCTGATCCCCGCTTCCCCTTCGGTCCCCGGCCAGCCCCTGATCCCCGCTTCCCCTTCGGTCCCCGGCCAGCCCCTGATCCCNGTCCCCGGCCAGCCCCTGATCCCCGCTTCCCCTTCGGTCCCCGGCCAGCCCCTGATCCCCGCTTCCCCTTCGGTCCCCGGCCAGCCCCTGATCCCTTCTATCCCTTCGGTCCCCGGCCAGCCCCTGATTCCTGCTTCCCCTTCATTCCCCGGCCAGCCCCTGATCCCTGCTTCCCCTCCGGTCCCCGGCCAGCCCCTGATCCCTGCTTCCCCTTCGTTCCCCGGCCAGCCCCCGATCCCTGCTTCCCCACAGTTTCATTCTCTGGGCTTTCCCTGCCCCACCCCTGCGCCGGTTTCATCGCCTCCCCTCCCTGTTGAGCCACCCCAGCTGCAGCACCCCTTGGGCTACCACCCGCCCAGCCAGGGCTCTGCTTCGTTCCCCTCTTCCAACACGGCCCCCCTATCTATGGGGTCCTCGCCCCACTCGGGGCCATCTTCACCCCAGCTCCAGTCGCTCCCATACCAGTCCCCCACCCCCGGCTCAGCATCCTCCCCTTCACCTACCTCCAGCAGCCCCCTGATGCACTTTCGGCACTCAGGTCAACCCCCGGCTCAAGCAGCCAGTCCAATTGTAGGAAGCCAGGTGTGCCCCCTGGCCCCCCAGGGGGAGAGGATGAACATCAAGCAAGAGTCCGAGGGCAAGGAACTCGCCTTCAATGCTATTGGCTTGCAGGACATTACGCTGGATGACGGTGAGGGCATCCCCTGAGAAAGTCATATTAATGCATTTTTCCTTTTAAAAATTAGTTTAAATAGCAGAAAAATTTTCTGCAGCTTTCACGTCTGGCAGATGATATGGCCAGCAAACAGTTTATGCACTAGGGCTGGGCGATGTGCAATGTTAATGCACAATGTTATGCACATTCAATTGTCACATCACAAAGATTGCGATAATCAGCTGGGTTTAGATTAGGCTTGGGGTGTATCTAATTTTTCATACCATCAGGACATACCGTGATATACTGTATTTTCAGAAGTGACATTATTTTGCAATACAGTTCGGGTTTTTTGATATCTTGCCAATAACATTCATTGAGTGAGGTGGGTGGAATTCCACAGTAAGATCCGCCTAATAGATCATCAATATGTTTTGCTAAAACATTTGTATTCTGCCATAGGAAACAAAACTTATCAAGCTTTGCAATTTTAAACATCACACTTTCCTAGCCAATCGTAGTAGTTTTTGCCCTTGCTGTCAGACTCACTCATAGACTGTGTGATGCGTTTGTGAGCAATATAACAAAAACGATTGAGGAGAAGGGAAATGAACGATATCTGGCCACCAAAAGACATTAGTCGTCCATCTCATGTACATATTTTACATACTATTGAGCACAACTCAGCACGGTTCACTGCAACACTGCCAACTTCTTTGACTGACCGACTAAGTTCTATTTTGCTTTATAAATATCACTATATATATATATATATATATATATATATATATATATATATATATATATATTAAAAAAATCACGTTGCAATATTTGAAATATTTCTAATATTGTGTAGCCCTAATATGCACTCATGACTGATTTTGTCAGAATCTGCAGAGGGAATGCGTGTTATATGCATATGACACGCATGACTGTGGGAAATTGTGCACACTGAGACTCAGCCTTGTGCACGTAGGTCTTTCTCTTGCAGTTGTTTAAACTTAGAAATTTTCCATGGCTTGGAAGATTTACTAGCAGTTTGGCACGGAACTTGTATTACGTCACTTTAATATATTGCCTATATGATATATTAGGTCAGAGTGTAGAATAGCAGTGCTTTACTTTATTCATTCCCATGGGGGAATTGCCTTATCTTTGCTCTACTCTATGGAGTGAAAGAACGCATACAAACACTTTTCACAGTCATCAATGGGAGTGCGCAGCGCAGAGGAATGCATGCAACAGTGCATTTTCAAAATGCAGAACACACACGTTGATGAAAAGCGCAATGCAAGCCATATAGTAGGAACGACTCCTAAGGGCCCAGTGGTGGCATGAGTCTGCTGGCCCTGGGATTCAAACCAGCAACCTTATGATCACAGGCTCAAAGTTCTAACTTGCAGAGTGATACAGCACTCTGATCTCTTTTGTCTGTATAATAGATAATGCTATAGTTGTTTTGCAGGTGTTTGTTTTAATGTTTAGTCCATTTATAAAGCACATTAAGGATCTTGCTTATGTGATTTTGGCCTGGAGAGCTTCTAGGCACTCGCCCTGGTTGCCATAAAGAGGAGGCTTTTCATGAAATGCGTCTGTAAGCAGAAATGAGCTGGGTTCAGGTGTGAAAGACGTGCAGGGCACCGTCACCTGCAAGGCTTAGGATCCCTGCGGCGCCACCATGTGGCAAAGGCTGGAGCGTGCTACTCAGTGCTGCCGCTTCTGGGTGGCGGCATAGCTTTTTGCGAAAGGGAATTTTGGACTTTGGCTTGGATGTCGCGTGTGGGATTAAACTCCCCAAAGTGCCGCCGTATAAATAGTAACTGTAACATTCTGGCTCCGTGGGCATCCTGTCAGGCATCTCAGCATAAAGAGGTAGATTCGTTTATTTTTAGCAGGTCAGTGATGGCCGCATGGATGGAAGCCAGGCTCAACAATGTGGCACCTGGTAGCATAGCTGCTAGAAATGTTCTGTTGAGTAAAGCGTGGCTCATTGTAATTAACTGGTGAACCATTGTAATTCTGTGCTATCCTCAGCATTAAAATACATAGGTCCTCTGGTAGGTTTGGCCTCTGATTTGACTGTCTTGGGTTATGCCTTTTAACTGCTGTTTCTAGTTAAACCACAGAACTTGTGCGATACTAACTGGAGCCGTGATCTTTCCACCCGGGAGTGTTTTGTATGTTATAGTTTGCATACATTGAACAAGAAATGGCAGCAATGCCTTGTGCTGTGATATATGAGGTGCAAAGCCATACCGGTGGCCCTCAGACTCAGTAACGCAGTGTGACATCAGCAGTGTGACATCAGCAGTGTGACAGCATGTGCTGATCCACTCTCCTGTGAGCCCGGCTGCTCCTGCACATGGGGCGTCTCTAAATGTCACCAGGGGCCGCAGTCACGCTCTCGTCAAGATAATTACACCCGTCGCAGCCGTAAATGATCAGAGGCTTCTTGGATCTTTAATGAATCACCTTGTACGGGACGGTGCGTCTGCGCTGTCTGCATATGTCTGCGCAGGCCGCATCCTGCGTGCATCTGCCATATGCCCCTGTTTTGGTTGGTGCTCCAGCCGTGAGTTGCAGCACTGGCCAGGGTTAATAATAGAGCGGGCCTTCTGTGCTCTGTCATACGCAGGAGTCCACGCAAACAGTATGGTCTCCGTGGTGATTAGCTGAGCTGCGCTAGGGGAGGGGCTGCCCCCAGGGGGCGCTCCGCCGCCGCCGGCAGCGCTAAGGTGGCTCATTTTACCCCAGCAGCCATATGTCAGAATGAGGCAGCAGCACAGCATTCATTCTGTTCCCATGAATCCTCTCCTGTTTTCTGCATTCAGTTTTTCATTCACTTTGGACGAAATTCACTCATTTGCTTTAACACCTTTTGTGTTGGATCATTTGATGTCTCAAATACCGACTAATACTTACTGATCTTTGACACGAGGCAGGTTTTCCGGTGAGCTTCCTGGCTTAATATTGTTTTGCTGAACAACAGCTGTGCCAACTCAACCCCCACACCTTAAACCAACTTGTGTAAACAAAGTAGCAACAGTATACTGGTGCTCTTCATTTGGGTTCAGGTTTCACCACATCACCGGCAGTGAGTCTGTCTGATCAAATGTCTTCTACATTTCAGGCCTATTGGCCTACGGAGGAATACACAACCACGATGAGAGACCAGGAATGAACAGGAAGCGAACTACAAGTTAACTCAGCAGGCAGATGTTACTGGCTTAAAGTGACAGAGCTGCTTAATTGCTTTACATCCCACATTTTGGGCTTTATATGAATGGTTGTTACCGTTCTGTACAGGGTCAGTGTTGACTAGCTTAATGAAGACGGCAATCCATGAAGGAAGTACATTAAGGCTTATGAAACCACTGAACTAGAGGGCCCCATGAAAATGTAATTTCATCTTCACAGATGTCCTGTGCTGAGACATGTAGGGATCCCCTTCAAGAAATGAAAATGATCAAAATGATGAGTAATTTAATGCAGTTGTGTTACATTTGTAACATCTCTAGCTTTCAATTAGTAGAAATGTATCAGTTTCTTACAAACGTAACAGTCTCTTCATACTTATGCTCTCTAACTAATATAGCAGCAAAGAAAGACTGCAAAAAAAAGTCATTGACATTCAACAGTTGTGGTAAATTTCTGGTGTAGAAGGTTGATGCAGCTCTTTCAGTTGCGACATGTGAAGATGCCTGTTGCTGTCATCAGAACGATGGAGGTCACGTGTGACCGTGACTTGGCTAAAGATCGAACAAATTAAAGCTCATACTTTCAGAAGATATGGTGTTGCCGCATTGTTTACCCGGTAACCATTTTTCTGCGTGCATGTAAGTCTAATTACTGAGTCCTCCTCCATATTGCAATTGAGACACATTTGGAGCTGTTGCTAAATACTATATATGTTTAAGTGAAGCCTGGATGTAGTTTTTACTTTTGTCGTAAAACAGAAACACTTCAGCGTCTCCATATCCTGCTTCGCGTCTGTGCACATCTTGGTCTCTATCTCTGTGTGTCTATGGTCTGGTGTTTCTGTGAGTAGCATACAATAGCTGAGAGGTGTCTTCAGTTAACCTGGTCACCAAACGGTATACAGTGCTCACAGATTATTGTTATTTCTTATTGTTATTATTATTGTTATAGTTGTTATGGATGTTATTGTTATTATGCAGTAGATCTATGCAGTGCTTTTTCAAACCTTTTAAAACAATTTTCTGACAAGAAAATCAGTTCAGTGTGTTCTTATTCTGTTAAAACTTGCCATGAGCCTCATTTTTTTCCATCTGCCTTTTTTCATCATCAGTGACTGAAAGATTTCCATTGCGTTCTCACCGGCATAATGTGCGGGAAGCTATCGAAGGTCACATCTTAGCAGGAGAGCTCTGTGACCACTGACTCAACCTGCTGCACCACACTCCACACCAGAACAGTTTCTTTCCACTTTTTGCTACAGCTGAGATTGCAAGTTAGGCACATTTCCACATTAAGGTCTCTGTCTTCCTTGGTTATTGAGTATGGGAATGAATAGAGCACAGAATCTGGAGCATCTGTCTCCTTGACTGGTGTTGTGATATGACTCCAGAGCCTTTAAAAAGAGCCATGGCAGAGAAGAGCGTATGCTGGGCCCCAGCTGAACTCAGAAGTTGGAAATTTCAACTGGAACACCCCCTGAAGTCAGAATTCCAACTCAGAAAGTCAGAACCTCCGCAACCCCAATTTCAGAATTCAAAATGGCTGCGCCTTTATCGACAGAAGTTAAAGCTGTGGTTTACTGTTTATTTACATGTTCGCCTTATTTGTGGCTCGTGCACAGTATAGTCCAGTCCATTCGTTATCTGTGGATGTGTCACTATGGTGTTTGTACAGAATAAACCCTGTAATGCGTCATCAACTGATATTGCTAACAACGGCTAATAATGAACCAAGCTAGAACTGGGGCCTGTTTCAGAAAGCAGGATTTCTTAGCTGGATAATTTGTCAGATTTAAAGCCACTTAAATTGGGGTACCTTAAACCTGACCGGTTATCCGGCTAAACAGGAAGTCCAACATTTTAAAACAGTGTCCTGCTATAGCTAAGTGGCTTTCCGACTTGTCGTAGTAAAACAAATTTAACTTGGGTGTGACGTCATTCCCAACTCTGACTTCTGACCTCCAAGGTAAACGGAACGCAGCATTAGCCTTTGAATGTTCCTTTATAAGGGGCGGCATGGTGGTGCAGTGGTGGAGTTTGGATGTTCTCCCGTGTCGTCGTGTGGTTTCCTCCAGGTACTCTTGTTTCCGCCCACTGTCCAAAAACATCCTGAGGTTAATTGGAGTTGCCAGGTTGCCCATAGGTGTGCACATGTGGGTGAATGGTGTGTGTGCCCTGTGATGGGTTGGTGCACCATCATGGGTTATTCCCTGCCTTGTGCCTGTAGCCTCCAAGATAGGCTTCAGACCACAAGTGACCCTGAATAGGACAAGAGGTTACAGAAAATGGATGGATGGACGGACGGACGGACGGACGGACGGATGGATTGATGGATTGATGGATGGATGTTCCTCTATATCTGGAATACCCATCAAGAGTAGTACACCTTCCACTTCATAGGTAAATCTGTACTGATTGTGTCTCTGTGCTTCTCCTGTAGTGAATGAGATCATTGGCCGTGACATGTCTCAGGCTCCAGCTGGAAGTCACAGCCAGTCATAGCTAACTCTGCACCTGGAACAGGGGTCCTCTGCACTGGGAGCACCGACGTCCTGCTGTCCGCTCTATCCTGCTTTCAGCGCCCCCTGTGGGTCAGTGCCGAAAGCAAACCTAGAGCGATTCTCTCCAGAGAAGCCAAGGACTGGCAGAACAGCGCCCCCACCAGGCCACACTTACCGCTGCACCCCTGGTGCAAAGACAGCTCGTCCAGCTTGATATCAAGTGGAACTTTACAACCAGCACTGGTTCTAGAAGACAAAGGTCAATCATGAATCATTCCACCTTGGAGTTCCTAGTGGGTTTATAATATGCAACATTCCATCCTTTTTTTGAACTTTAAAACGGATGACTTCATATTTTTTCCTCACTTCAGGTTGCACAATTGCCTTATAAACATGTTGTTGCTTCGAAAGATGTTAAAAGCTTTTAATTGTAAAAAATTTTATATAGTTGACTTCAAAAGTTATTGTAAACGTTACAAAAAAGATATTTAAAATACTTTAAGCTATTTGTAAATATTGTGGAGGCTTTGTAGTGCTCACCAAGTTTGGTGTTACTTGCTTTTTTATGGATATTTGCTGAATTTTTAAAGAGCCGTTTGAAATAGAATATCTCTTAACGTGGCTGTGAGTGTCAGTCGATTTGACAAAGCTGAAAATTGGGGGAAAAGTTGTTGAGACAGAGCCCTCTGCTGGTTGCTGATAACCGTTACAGCTTTCCTAGGCAATATTTCTTCTGCAGGGCTGCTCCTGCGTGCCTTCCAGGTGAATCTATGGACAGACACAAATTAACATAATTGAGCTAGTATGTATAATACATTTATTATAAGTTGGAAACATCACAGATTTGAAATCTTTTGTCCAAAGTACAGCTAGTGTCCCTGGAGAATAGGGGTCAAGGGTCTGTCTCAAAGGCCCAATGGTAAAATCACTCTGCCAGCCACAGGATGTAAAGCGACCATGGGCACCGAGTCTGAGCCCCCAGGGCCACACGCTGTGGGTATGACCCGTAGTAGCACAAAGAACAAATTTGCTCATGTTTCCTACTGAATTAGCCAAGCTGCCTTTCCATTCCGCGTGATTTCTTTGAAAGCAGTTAAACTCTGATTAAATTACATAAAAATCCATAGCGACAATTTGACCATGGTAATATAGATCATGGTGTAACAGTAATCTATAAATGATAAACACTTTAAATTCAGGTCAGACCTTACTGAATCCTATTTAATTTTGCTGTATTGTATTTTTATTTCAATGTTGGTACAATAGTACTTTTGAGGGAAAGTAATTTTATAATAAAAAAAGGAAAAAGCTAATTAAAAGCCAATGAGTAAGAATAGTGGAATGTTTGCTGGAACCGTTTTCTGAAAGATTTGCATGCAGCGTGACACGAGTGACCTTTCATTGCAGAATTGTGTGTAGCTTTCCTGTTTGTTTCATGCCACGTGTGTTCAGGGGATACTGCATAAATGCATCTATGCACCATTTCATATACTCTCTGCCTTAAGATTCTTACCTGACGTGAGTAATATTCTTGCATGTGTATTGTTGTATTTAAGACCTAGTGCATCTCTTTTAGGGATGTATGTGGTGTTACCTTTGAGACTTTTGACACAGCACTGTAGAGGTGTGCGGATGTTGTGCAGAACTGCAATTAAGACACAACCTGCTATGCACTAAATCCTGTCTGATGCCTTTTAAACAAACTTGGATGCCTGAATAAGACCATTTCTAGATGCTTTAATGAATTTTCTGATAAGTAGGAGACTTAATTCCCTGTGAACAATTAAAATGTTTTTTTTTTTTTTTTGTTTGTTTTGGTTTATGTTGCTTTCAAAAAGGATTCAGTTATATGGGTCTTATTCTGGTGGGATGGGTTTAAGACTGTTAGTATTTTTGTATTTCAATAAAGAAAACATCAATAGATGATTATTATGCAAGCTGAGATTGTAAAACAACATAACATTCACTCCATTCAAATGTACAAAATTTTTAAGATGATTTTAATAGTTTCACGCACAATAAGGTTGAATATGTGATTGATCTGTTGGACTAGTTTCAAACTCCAGTTTGTGAAATTTTAACAGCACTCTTCGGTACTCTTTAAGACTTCATTTGACTTCATTCAGAGTGCTGCTTGTATAGCAGAATGCTTCAGAAAGCACAATGGACAGGGCAGTGCTGCAGATGCTGGTCTGGATGTATTCAGACCTGTGCAGGCAACACAAACAGCCTGCCGTCTGCCGCTGCTGTGTTTGTCCTGAACCAAAGATGGAACGGTCTGTTCACACTACTTACTGGTCAAACAAACTCTGGACTATTTTTGATACTCTAGATGGATGTCATTCCTAAAGGTTTAAGGAAAATAAGAAACTTTGTTTAAAAAAATTCAAAGGGAAACACAGGTTTAATGTTTACAAGGCCTTGTATTATGTGCATTTATGTATTTTAATGTTTTGTAATGCTGTGTCATTCAGAAACGTTGAAAGAAAAAATTGCAGTTTAGGCTCTTAACTGGTAGTGTATCAATAAAATGCAAAACAGAAAGATGAATCCTTGTCTGTTCATATTCATGTCGGAACATCAGAGACCACATGCAACTGAACAACAGCAAGCAACATGAAGCCCTGTTCACTTCCTTCATCGCAGCAAGGCCTGCTCTTGCAGAGATAATGTGCTTCAGCTTCTGTAATTAGGTACCACAATCCTGCTAAGTTTCTGTTAACAGCTCCACTAAAGGCCAGGTGACACTGGGTGAGGCGTCATCCTTCACAAAGACCATGGTAGAATATCATCATGACCCCTGAGTGTTGAACATGCTTGCCAGTAAATAAGGGACAGTGAGTTTAGTCTCGCTCACTTGGCTCCTAAGAAAACAAAGGGTGATTCTTTCCTCACTGTATTTTTGATATGCAAATAAATAAACTACCTTTATCTTTTCATCCTGACGTACATTTAAGTGTGAGTTCTTAAATTGAGTCGAGTAGAATAAATCATGTGCGAGTACTCTAAGAATAGTGCACAAAATACAACTTGTAAACAAAGCTTTCATTTGAAGTCTTTATACTCGCTGATTATTTACCTCAACATGTATGATAAAAGATTTTGTCTCACAATTTGTGAATTTCTCAATCTGAATTTGTGAAATTGCTTATTTCTTGCAGAATTTAAAACATCACAATTTGTTAGAAGTTATTGGGTTTTTTTGCTTTGACTTTTTCTACGTACTTAAATTTATATCATGTTGCTTTGGATCATATTAAGAACATGTAGCGGAATTTACATTTACATTTACTATGGCTTTCATTGCCAGTCATTCCATGGAATGGAATTGACAGAAATGCATATTAGGGTTAGGGTAGCCTTGCACTGGGGGGGAGGGGCGGGGTTAGGGTAGCCTTGTACTGGGGGGAAGGGGCGGGGTTGCCCCCTGGGCCCAGTCTGGGTGTGGCCTCTATATTCATACTTTAATACTTTACATTGGAGATATTTTAAAAAACTAACTCTTTTTTTTTTTTTAAATCTATGTGACGAGATGAATCTAAGGGACTTTGTCTGAGTGTCTATGACCTTCCTAGGCCAAGATAAAGCTAAACTTCCCAATTTTAATATTAACATGCTTAAAATGCAAATTTTGAGATACCAGCAAAATCGGCCTCCAGGTGCAAAGTTTGAGCCCAATCCAGCCATGCTAACAAAAATTAGCATGCTAGTGCTAACTTGGGCTTCAGTACCATCAATGGCATGTTGGGCCATGCTAATGCAGATGTTGTCAAGTTTAGGTGGCGATTTGTAGGGTGTGGTGTGTGGGCGATACTCATCATCTCTAGAAGACTAGACTCCATTTATGTTCTGTTAGCCCCAGACCAACATCCCTACAATGCTATCCAAGTGGATCTAGGGTGGCTCTTCAGCCAAATGTATCTTCATTGACACTGTTCCTTTTCCAGGCCATCTGAGTGGAACCTGAGATCACTGATTAAGTAAATTCATTCCCCAGTGCTACGATGGCCAATTTAACCCAAGCTTTAAATGCAGATGCTGAACATAGTACTCTCCTAAGTTGTCTCAAGTACAGTACTCAGTTTAATGGATGGATTTCAGTCCAGGTAACAAACTATCAGAGGAAGTCTCTGCAATAGTGCTATCTACCTGCATTCGCAGTGATTCCTCACCAGGGTTCATGTCATCTTTCAGCTTTATTTCTATAGCCAAGGTGACCTTAGTGACCCTTTCGTTGTTTAGCACTGTGAAAAACTAATTGGGTCCTTTTGGAGAGAGAAAACCATTTTATTTCTCCTATAGTTACTGATATATTTGTGTTTTTCAGTATCATTTTACATAAGAACATAAGAACATAAGAAATATACAAACGAGAGGAGGCCATTCGGCCCATCGAGCTCACTTGGGGAGAACTTAACTAATAGCTCAGAGTTGTTAAAATCTTATCTAGCTCTGATTTAAAGGAACCCAAGGACTCAGCTTGCACTACGTTATCAGGAAGACTATTCCATACTCTGACTACACGCTGTGTAAAGAAGTGCTTCCTTAAATCCAGTTTGAAATGTTCCCCCGCTAATTTCCACCTATGGCCACGAGTTCTTGTATTTGAACTAATGCTGAAGTAACTTCAAATACAAGAACTCGTGGCCATAGGTGGAAATTTTCGCGCTTCTGATCACATGGGCATCGCTGCCATTAAATCTGAGGGGGACGTGTCCCCCTCACATTTCATAATTATTTGTTTAGACCCCCCCCCCCCCCACATTCAAAATGTTTCTGACGCCCCTGTCTGATCAGAATATCTTCTGATCCAAGAAAATCAAAATGTAGCTGATTTGGACGTAAAGTATAAATATTTATTTCACCTGCATTTCCGTAATTTTTCCACAAGATGGCGACACAATCATGGCGAAAGTAGGGTTTTAAGTACCATGGGTCGTGCAGATTTCAAAATTGATATTTGGGGGTTTAGACTGCTGATTCAGAACCAAGTACTCCGCTCTCTAAGTAGTCGCCAAGTGGTGCTAGATAAACGGGACATAGTATGCCGCTCCCCTTATGCTTTTTAAACTTAAAAAGGGGTTGATGCCGACCCCAACACCATAGGAAGGTTAACACCTAATTCCTTTCTGTCTATCATTTTCCCATTTAGCCAACAGGTGTCGCTGGCCACACCATTTCCCCAGTCTTTACCAAGGTTTAGCACTGCTCTTTTCCCAGTGTGTTTCTCTACTCCCCAGGCCACTGTGTGGCTGAATGAGCCAAGCCGGCATCCTTACTGGCGTACTGGAGAGGTCAGCCTCAACATGTAGGACGTGTATTTTGTGCCCCTGGTTTGTTTTCTATATGTTAATTACGTATTTCTACATGTAGTTATCCCTGTTTCTAGCTAGATTATAATAATTTTCTGCAACCCTTCTTTCTAATCTCTTCTAGTCTTAGAGTATGTAATGATTGTTAGTTATCCTCACCAGTTTCTTGTTACTCCTAGTTCCTAATGTTTGGTTAATTGTTAATGGCCCAATTCCTGTTCCTTGTCTAGTCCTCGTTACTTGGGGATATATGTGTCTCCCCTTACCCAGTTTCTCTGTTGATCACTGTGCATTTGTAGGGTCTATAGATGTTGACCGTCTTTGTTTTAGGTGTGTCTTGCTTGTGTCTCCCCTGTGTTTCCTTGCATTTAGTCCAAGCCTTTGTTAGTTATTTATACTCAGCTTGCTCATACTTACAGAGAGCACGTTGTAGGAGGTATAAAGGGAATTCATGGGGATGAAGGAAGTATCTATTAATATGACAGAAACGTCCTCTGCAAATTAGTCGCCCCATGGCATTTATGGTGCTTTTGCCAAATTGTTACCGCTATAGCGGCTTTTTGCTTTATCATTTATCGCTATGGATATGTGAACATACTGAGTAATAGAGAACATAGGGTTTAGTTCATTATGGATTGTTAGCATGATATATTTGTGATATTATGATGATTGCACTGAGCCGTGATCCCAAAACCGAGGTTTGTACCAAGCTGTGAATTTTGTTCACCATTATCCCCCTAATGATAGAGCTGAATAACACTTTCAACTGCAGGCCCATCTCCTCACAATGCACAGCTTCAGACGTTCCCTACTGCCATTCACTGGTTCAGTCTTTCTGTTCTCCTCTTCACAACGGCACACAGCTTGTAGGGCACAATCACAATTCTCTTTGACTCATTATTTCAGTCTTCCACCTGCAATGAATTACGCACCTTTCCTGTTTATGAGACATTTTACCTCATTTGTACCATCCTCTCTGTATTCTGTACCTGTATCTTGTGGTATTTAAGTTTGGGGCAGGCTTGTGCTTTTTCAGGTATCCTTGTAAGGATGCTGGATATCAAGTTTCTCCTGCCAGTGAACAGTACAATTTAACGGCGTCTCAGAAGTCTTAAAACAATAATAGTACAACATACACATTTTTCGGATTCACTAATAAATAGCATGAATTTATTATTGTGTTTCTTCTTCTTCTTCTTCTTCTTATTATTATTATTATTATTATTAATAATAATAATAATAATAATAATAATAATTGTGTTGTGCTGTGCTTGCAATGCTGTCCCAGCAAGTAACTTTTGTTACATGTTTCATGCACGTCAATAGTTGGCAATGTTATTTGTTTGCATTTTCATTGGTCACCAATGACTACCTAACAGAGTTAAACTGGGCAGTCCTACCAGCAAGTTGATATTCCATTTGTGATGTCAAACACATATTTTTCTGAAGTGCAGATCAAAAGAATTTAAAACATCATCTGAATATTAGCACATAAGTCCAGAATCACATCCTAACTTTGTGAATATTCACAATGTTTATCTTATTATAGATGTATACTTTGCATACATGTAGATATTAATTTCTTATCCAATGCAGAAAAATGCAGGGCTCAGGGAAGCCAGAAAGTCACAGAACACACACACACACACACACACACACACACACACACACACACACACACACATAAAACCAGGAATTTAAAAATGCAAAATATATGTTTTACAATTTTGGAAAGGAACCTGAGTAAGCAGAGAAAATCTATATTAATTTATTTTTTTAAAAGATAAATTTTAAATAATAAATATTTAATGAAAAATATCCATCCATCCATCCATCTTCCAGTCAGCCCAGACACCCTGCAGAGGAAGCTCATTATGGGCCACTTGTATCCACAATCTCACTTTTTCGGTCACTACCCAGAGCTCGAGACCACAGGTGAGGGTAGGAACATAGACTGATCGGTAAATTGACAGCTTTGACTTCCAGCTCAGCTCCCTCTTCACTAAAACCTTTAAAAAAATAATCGATAATCAAAAATAAATTCTAAATAAATAAACAATGCAAGCTTTTCACTACAAATACCCCTGGATTATTTAAATTGCCACGATTTAAAAAGTATACACACCCCTATTTGTGGTGTAAAAAAATTAGACCACAGAGGGAAAAATATGAAATAGAAACAATGTGCAGGAGAGATGCCCTTCAATCTGAGAGATTTGGAGCGCTGTTACAAGGAAGAGTGGGCAAATAAAGTCAAGATGTGGCAAGCTGATAGACTCCTACCCAAAAAGGCTGAATACTGTAATTAAATCAAAAGGTGTTTCAACAAAAATCTGGCATTTTAACATGGGGGTGTACACTTTTTATATCCACTGTCCTTATTCTGCCTGCCTCATATTCTTTCAAGACAGAGAACCAATCTCTGTAACACATCTTCTCCTTCCAGTCTCTGCTGTGCTTGCATGATTGGCTCCGTCCTTTTTACTGATCTACTTGCCATCCTAGAATCATCATAGCATCATCACTTGTGTTGACACCAATGAGACGAGTAGCAACTTGGCGCTAAGCTACATAACTGCTGCTAAACTTGCGTTATGATAAGTTTGCCTCTGATTGAAATTCTTAGGAACAACATATTTTCTGTGAGATAAAAAAACTAATTCACTAACAGACTTCCTTAGGGAAAATCCCACCTTATCCTGTTTATAACTGTTTCGTGAGGTTAAAAAGCTGTGCCGATGGAATTTCCTTATAAACATCATTCATTGGAGTAAAGTATTGTTTTTATGCTGTCTGCATTTAGTCCTATTAAGAAGACCAACAAGAAGCAATATGTTTAGGTTAGTTTTGTGGCTATATATGCAGGCAAAGCTCATATTGAGCTGAATTCCGTACATCTCTTCCTTCAGTGCCTATTCAGAACTATCATACTGTCACACCCTGCATTCCTTCCTCCTCGTTCTCTCCTCTAATGAGCTGACATACCCATGATATACAGCCCTTGTGTGGATCACCCCAGGTGCCTCTCGTCTGCTCCCTCATCAGTGGTGTATATAGTGGCTCCCTGTTTTAAGCTCCCCAGTCCAGTCACTGATGTTGCTGCCTGCATGTGCTCCCCAGGGTGCCCCGTGTTCTTGGTGTACGTGACAGAATCACTGGACTCGGCCAACAAAACCCTGGCAGCTCCCCAGCCCTCCAGACACTGGATGCTCCTGCCTTCATTCCTCATCTGAACCCGGAGAACTTCACATTGTGTGATCCCCACCTGTATTGGAGATGCCTACTGAAGACTGGGGCTCGAGGACTACCACAGTGTCTCCTGGCCCCAACTCTGCTATCCCATTGGCTCGACCTGGCCCTATTGGCATCCCGAGACCAGGGGGGACTGGCTTCCCAGGGACAATGCCCTACTTTCAGAGGTCCAGCAGAACCGCTAGCTCAGTCCTGTCCCCTTATGCTTCAGTTAAGTTTTTGCCCTAAGGTCCTGTCCCGCCTTTATACTCACAAAGCCCATTCCCATTTTTAGTCCCCCATGTTGGTTCTCTCGCCCTGCCTCAGTTCCTGCCCCAGTGCCCTATCCTGCCTTGTCTCCTCCCAAGCCCATGGTGCCCCCTTGTCTGTCTGTCTCTGGCCCTGGTGACCCTTCACTTGTCTGCCCTGTGTTGGTTTGTATGTCATTCGTGTCCTGCGTTCCCCATCTTGTCTGGTTTCTTGCCGGTGTTTGGTTCTTGTTAGTGACTGAAAGTAGTGTTACTGTCTGAGTGTCATGTTTGCCCTGTTATGTGCCCTGTGTGTCTCAATAGTGTTCAGTTGTGTTTCAGTCCTGGTCCGTCTTCTCCCTTTCCCAGTTGTGATCTGTTTTCCTACTCCTTTGTGGTCTGGTCTTGTCTGTCCTGTTTCGTCACATATTGGTCCCTGGATCCCTACCCCCGTCAGGTTTGGTGTTTTAGTGCTTTGTCTGTCATTTACCCCGGTGCTGGGTACCTTCTGTCCCTTAACCTGCTCGGTCCCTGTAGGTCCCCTCTCCGATCTGCCTAGCATGCCCACAGTGTTGGTGGGGGGGGGGGTACTGTCACACCCCGCATGCCTTCCCCCTCGTTCTCTCCATTGTGTGGTGCTAATGTGGTTACTTGTTTAATCTTGCTTCTCGTTACAGCCCTTGTGTAGATCACCCCAGCTACCTCATATCCTCTCCCTCATCATTGATCTTGAGGATCTCTCAAGGTGCGGGATATCTCTTAGTACCTAGGGTAGAAAGAGCTACGGCAGGCTGCAGAGCTTTCTCCTATAGAGCTCCTCATCTGTGGAACGGTCTTCCACCGGATGTGCGGGTTTCAGGCTCACTCTCAATATTCAAGTCTAGACTAAAAACACACCTATTTAGTTTAGCTTATAGGGACACTAGTTCTAGCTCTAGCTAGCTTCTCACTCCCAGTTAAACCTATAGTGTAGAATTTGCCTGTGTATGTACCACATTCTTTTTTTAAACAAATAGATTCTGTCATATTTCCATTCATTTGGGGATACAAAGCACATAGGATCTCTAAGGCTCATTTGCATAAGCCGAAGGAGTCGGGTGGTCTAGCGCTTCCAGTGTTCCGTCATTACTACTGGGCCAGTAATGCCAGAGCTATGATGTTCTGGCAGATGTGTGATCAAGCCGCTGACAGGTTGACAGACTCGATACCCAAGTGGCTGTATATGGAAGCTCGGTCAGTTGTGAATAGCTCCTTAGCCGCTATTCTTTTCTCTAAAACTGCATCGTTGAAAAAGTCACGATGTAAAAACTTTGTTGTGCTCAACTCTGTTAGAATTCTGAATCAAATTAAGACTGCTTTGAATATTACATGTCCCTCAGTACTTCTGCCTATCTGTGATGATAATTTTTTGCCTGGTAAGTCAGACAAGATATTTTCACTGTGGAGAGGCAAAGGACTGGCCACAGTTAAGGACTTTTATATAGATGGAAAATTTGCCACTTTTGAACATTTATATAAACTTTTCGATCTTTCCCACTCACAATTTTTCCGATATCTACAGGTGCGTCATTTTATTAAAAATTATTTTGAGTCTCAGGAACTACCGCAAGATCATGATTTGTATAAGGTTTTGGGACAATCTCCCATGGCCAAACATTTGGTGACACAGTTCGTTTCTGTGTTTGTCTCCCATTTTGCAGTGTCTTCAGATCACCTTAAAACAGCTTGGGAAAATGATACTGGACTCAGTATCTCAAAGGAGATTTGGGAGGAGGGATTGAAAAGAATCCATTCCTGCTCTATTCATGCAAGATTACAACTTATACAGTTTAAAGTGATGCATAGGTTACATTACACTAAATCTAAACTCAATAAAATTTACCCTTCAGTTCCCCCACTATGTGATAGATGTAGGAGCTCGGATGGGACGCATGCTCATACTTTTTGGTTCTGTTCTGAGATTTCTGAGTTTTGGAAGAATATTTTTCAGTGGTTTTCAAGTGTCCTTGGAGAAGATATCAGTCCAGATATTGAATTAGCTTTATTTGGATGTTCCGACCATACATTAGGTTTGACCCATTCTCAGCAATTGTCTCTTATGTTTGGTATGGTGGTGGCTAAAAGGTTGATTTTGATCATTTTGCATTGGAAATCCGCTTTACCACCCACTTTTCATAGATGGATGGCTGAAATGGTTGCTGCTCTCAAGCTTGAAAAGATTCGATTTTCTAAGATTGACGCGGATAAAAAATTTGATAAAATTTGGGGCCCCTTCCTCACTTATCTTTTTAAAAGTTGAAATGTATGCTATTTGCTTATTCCACTTCAGGTTTAATATTTTGTTTAAGTCTGTAGCTTTGTCTTAGGTATGTGTTTTTTACTGTGTCTGGTGCCTGTTCCAGTAAATGTTGTTGTGGATTTTTTAATTTATTTTTTTATTGTTATTTATTTCGTTATTTTATTATTTAATATATATATATACACGTATATATTGTTTGTGGATTCTGGTTTATTCTGTAATTCCATAAAATCTGTTTGAAAACCTGTTATAAATAAAGTTTATAAAAAAAAAAAAAACCTATAGTGTGAGGTGTAGAGCTGGGTGGGGATCAGTGCCATTGGCTTTGGATAACTGAATTGACAGTGCTGTCACTCTAGCTTCACAATCGCTTGTGGGATTGGAGTGCTGACATTTCAGGGACTCCCCATGCCTGCATTCCCACCTGCCTCTCCCTCCTACTTATGCTGCCACAGCCATATCTGCCGGAGCTTGCACATTGTACTTCATATTGCACTCACCTAACTGTTAGCACTGCCTATAGTCTCTCCTACTTTGACTAATTGCATTTATTTCCACCACCTTCTCCTGGGGGGTGCTGCCTGGAGCCCTCAATCTATCAAGATGTCCAGCACACCCTGCTACATGTGACGTCGCCACTACCAATGACGTCCGTGCATCCAGCTCGCCGTTCTGCCTGTGTCATCTTCCTTGTATGACCTGCCTTCTGGCTGCCTGGCGATTGTCATCTCCCCCCTGCTCCCCATCTGTGTTTCAGATTTAACTGTATCTGACTCTCCCTGCTGCCCCCTGGAGGATTGGCTCCCCCTTTGAGTCTGGTCCCTCCCAAGGTTTCTTCCTTCTGGGGAGTTTTTCCTTGCCACTGTCGCCTATGGCTTACTCACTGGGGGCTTTGGGTGGGGATGCTGTAAAGTGCTTTGGGACAATGTAATGTTGTGATAATGCGCTATACAAAAATAAATTTGTTGTTGTTGCTGATCTTATAGTGCCTCCCTGTCTTGAGCTCCCCAGTTCAGTCATTGATATGCACCTTTTAAGAAGTGGAAATGCCCTGCACAGCACAGAAGTAAAGAATATGGGTTAGCCATATCAGTTTGAGCGCTCTTACGGCTCACAGCCAAGCCAAGTCCTTCGGAATTAATGTTTAATCAGCCAGGGCTTTTGTAGTTTGAAACTAGAACAAGACCCAGGTAAAAGCTCTTAGGAATAAGGGAAGAGATGCCTGTAATTTGCCTGCATGGGCCCTCATCTAACTGTGATAAGAAATGATCTTTAGAGGCAGAGCGCGGAAATTAATGACACAGTAAAAGCCATGGCAGCCCCCTGTGCTGAAATAGACGTGGCTGTGTTGTCTAATTTGGGGACTAACTTATAGGCTTTTACACATTGGGTATAATCCCGTTCCTCAGAATAACATTCATATGTTCCATAACTATCTTCCTTCACGGCAGTGATAAGGTGCAAACAGGTAGACTGATCCTGCTGGCACTTGCTGCTCTGGTTGCTGTGCTCCCAGACGTATGTAGCATGATGCGAGTGTATGGGGCAGGAGAGGTAAAAGGGCAAATCCAACAGAACAGAGTAAGTGGTCTGGGGTACATCACATGACAACATCTCTGGTGTGTCACGTTTCTTTCGACGTGTCTTTGAACCTGAAAAAAATATATATTCATATTACATGGAGCCTCCAAAATGTATATCTAAACAAGTTACTTCTTAAATTGAAAGCTCTCAGCCAGATTTACCTTTACAAATTTCTGTTATACCACCAGCAACATCCTGAATGCCTCCCCTACAAAAAAAATTAAAAGTGAAGGGGTCAGGAAATATTCAGTGTAATAGTGCCAAGGTGTGCAACAGACACAAGGGTTTGAACTGGAATCATTTGTAAATATTGTTTCCGGAATATCAAGGAACTCAATTTCAGTATTTGTTGCACCCGAAACCATTTCGTTTGCACTCTCTCTTCTTACGGACGCAAATTTAAGGGAGAAGGAAAAGAGGGGACTAGCTAGCTAAAGGCAGGAAAGATTTATTATTTAAGTTTCGACCCTTCGGAGACTGATATTCTCTCTAAAGAGGACTCATTCCCTCTCGGTTGTGTGCAGTTATTTGCTGTATTTCAAGTTATCAATGTATGTAATGTGAATGACTGTTCGCTGTTCTGTGTGAATAGTTCGACGGTGGATATATGAAAAGAGAATCTGTCGATGCTGTTTGAAAACAGAGAAAGATTGTAAAATAATGTAAATCCGTCAGTAACCAGAAGAACCACGGTGTCGCATATTTCCTGGAGGGAGTGAAAATCCTGTGTTTCAACGTCTTTAGTTCGTAATTTGTTCCCTTAAGGGACCCTAATCCTCATTTTATTACACTTTCTGGCTACAGGTATATCAGCAGCCTGCTCTTTTGCATGTGCTTCAGGTGCAATGCACCCTCCCCCCCCCCCCCCCCCCCCCCTTACCATTCAGTGTTGTCGACAGGCCTGCACCCAGCCTCAGCCCATGCGCAGTAAGGGTCTCGAGCCAAAACACAGTCTTCACAAGACTGGTTGTAATTCTGACAGCTCTGCAGGTCCACCAGCGCCAGCTCATCCGGTAACCCTACCAAGAGTTTCCTCTGGACAACCACAAACATCTGTTAGGCTCCTGCACATGCAGACACATTCAGGTTAACTTGCTAAAGTATTCAGACTTTTCACATAATAAAAATAGCAAAGAGACGCATACGTATATGCAACAGAAATACATGGATGCTCACACTGAAGAGTTATTAGGGGTGAAGTTCCACTTAATTTCACCAAAACTTAATTCACAGCTGCCGATTCTATTTCTGTTTGCCTGAGCTCCCCAACGAAGCCCCTGGTCTTCTGCATTTGGGTCTCCTGTCATCTCTACTCATCCAGTGTGGCAGCAAGTAAAACAAAAAATAGAACTAACCTTCTTAGAATCAAGTTGTATAGTCTGAATATGTCCCATGCGGTTTGGAAGCAATGTTTCTGAGATTATAAAGGGTTTGGAGTTATGCTCTAAGACTTTGTGAATACGGTTTTCTGCAGGGAAAAGAATGTGTCTGTTAGAACTCTAGGGACATGTTCGACAGAACACTTTTTGAAAAGCCCCTGAAACATAATATTGCTTCTCTTGAAGATAACACTAAGAAAGCATATAAACTAGTTTTTATCGACATACATACAAGTAGGCCCTGGCCTCTGTGAAACCCTATAGCATATATGCAACTAAAACATTAATGGATGGACTAATAGACAATCCAATCTACAAGTATTTTAAGACCAGAATATTGTATGTTTTATTTTATCTTTATATCCTATGTAAGGACATTCTTGCTTGTTGAGGAAGACCAGGCATGTTTTTATTTTCAAACAGTGGTTTATGGTTTCTTATAAGATTTACTTATTAGAAGCTAGGGGTGATGCTAATTATGCATGTTGCATAAACTGCACCCATAACAAGATAAACACACCTGTTGCAAGGAACAGCACATTGTACAGTTCACGGTTCGTCCCCATGACTCTGTCAACAGCAATCTTTGTATAATTCAGACTGCTGATGTAAAAGGGCCTTTGTTTGTTCATTGGCTGGATCCAGTCATCCATCTCCGCATGGTCTTTAACGACACTGAGGGTTTCCCCTGGAAGTTTCCTGCTGTCTGCCACACACTGGCAGTAAGGTTTAATGATACAAAACATTACTGTTACTGGTTTGCCTACAATTATTCTGAAAAAGATCCTGGCTATCGGTGAATAATCTGAACAAAACATGGAACTGATAATCTGAATATAGATTGATGAGTAGATTGTTTAAAGAGTAGTAGTATTGAAACATTCATATTGCTTTACCATTCCCGGTCTTGGATTTGGAATGTTCTCATGAAAGTCCTTGAAACTGGAATTCTGAAAGACTCTGGCGATGTCAGATAGCGAATATATACAAACAGCAGAGGAGTTCCTACAACGGAGCAATGCACACTGATTAAATGTCTTGTGAATTATTTATTAAATGGCTCTAGCAAACAGCAAGGTTAAATGCCATCAACATCTTGAGAGCCACAATGAACATTCAAAACAGATACAGAAATATCCTGTATTGACTTCCACCAAACTGTTCTCTCACCAACTGCTTGTGAAAAGTACAAAGACCCGCCTGTCCCTCCAGTCATCAGCCTCTTGTACAAAAACATCCTGCAGACGGTTGAAGTACAAGGATTCCTCTGGGATCCCACACATGAGCCGGGCCTTAAGGAATGATGTCCAAGTATTCTGAAAGAACCTCTTCGGCCCACCTTCATCCACCTTTTGAGGCAGACCAACAGATATTTAATGCTAAGCCATTTGCCAATAGAAACATCATCAAGGCCTATTGCTGGGTAATACTCATGAGGCCCTCTCATGCCAATAAGAGGTCCTCACAGGTATACCACAAAAAAATTAAAAGCTTGGATTCAGTCAAAAAATTTTTTGCCTGGAATGGTTTCAAAGACCTGTCCCAGGAAGAGTCTCAATGAAGCCTAACAAAGAGCGCATATAAACAAATACAGGAAACACACACAATTGTGGGTGATTTCGAAAATCCAAACAGGAATATTCAGTCAAAATACTATTTTGTTACTAATTTTATCACTTTAAGTACTAATGAGAATGCCATATACAATCAGTGTAAAACAAACCCATTTATTATAACACAAGAATAATATAATACAAACTTATTAGTTAATGATTGCCGAAGTGTCACTGTAATATTAGTTAAATCAAGTTGGAAACATTGAATATCTATTGATTGTTGCAGTGAGGCGTTTGGATAAAAGTGCCTGCTAAATAAAATGTAAATGTAACCAACAGTGCGTGGAATTATCTTGCACTTTCCATCATCATAGTTCAACATCTGCTGTAGCCCAGAATTTTATGTCTATATATATTTTTTTTTTTAAACAAACAATATGTGGAAAGTGAAAATGTAAGGGAAGAAGCAGAAATGGCAGCTGAGTTTATGAGGTCAGGGAGGTCATACTACAAAACTGAAGTACACAGATAGCCTGGAGTTTACATGTGCTCTCGCTTAGTTGGTCAGAAATATACCTTGCACACTTGAGCAATTCTTGAGATCCATGGGTCAGCTTCTGGGTTGCTGTCAGAGTTCTTCTCACGAAAGAAAATATATATCTTCTCATTTTCTGGGTCATCCTTGCGTTTAATCCAGGCAGCAGATATAAAAGTAGGTTCTAAAATGAAAATGAAATGTGAATATAATACCAGTCAAAAGTCAGGGCATTTCAGGTTATGTAAGTACTGTTCTGCCTTGTGAACAAGGAAAGACATGGAGTGCTGGAGCAGATGACCCACAATCCCCCCAACATTAACCCTATAGAGCTGGTTTGGGAGGATTTGGGTGAGTAATAGCAAGGTAGGCAACTTGTGCCCAGACCATGTGCAAACTCCGTCTGGACTGTTAGAGAAGCGGGTACTGGTACTGGTACTGTGTATTTTGAAAAGTTGAAATTAACTCAGTGTTAAGTATGACACCACTTTTCTGAGTGGCATGGTGGTTCAGTGTTTAGCGCTGCAGTCTCACACCTCAATACTTGTGTGAGGCTAATAATGGAGTTTAGTCCTTGCTCCTGGCTTAGTGCCTGAGTTTACATGTTTGTCCAGTGCAATATGGATGGATGAACCCCTTACTGACCTCACCCCACTTTACTAAGGGTGGACATTGCTCCCTTTACGAGTTTACCATGCTGTCCATGTATCAAGAATGCAGATGTATCTCAAGGCTCTGTTAACATTTCCTTTACCAAAGGTTAAGTAAAGAAATGAGAAATGAAACAAGCATTATCAGGACATTTGACTTCAGCGGTCATGATAATGCATCCCAGGTTCTGCCATTGTAACAAGTCGTACATGTTGCTATTAAGTTAAAAGTTTGTAGTGCACAAAAACATTTAGCAGCATGCACAAAAAACTGCAGAATTCACTCAACAAGTTTCAGTAAAACACTATGGTCCGACAAAGGCTGCTGAAGTGTTATTCAATTAATAATTCAGTTAATCATCCATCCATCCATTTCTGTTCTGAAACCGCTTGTCCTATTCAGGGTTGTGGGGGTCCAGAGTCTATCCTAGAGGCTATGGGCAAAAAGGAGGGAACAGCTCAGGGTAGGGCAGTTAATAATTCAGTTTTAACAATTTATTCAATATAGGGCATCAGCCAGTCAATTTGGTAGTACAGCAAAATTAAGATGCAACTCCATAGTACTGCATAATAAAACATAAATACATACATACATCCTTAAAAAGTACATATACAACACATACTGTACTATGAAAATGGTTCAAAGTGCAGACAAAAAGCAGGATACGGTGATAAAATCAAGTGCTATTTAGAAAGAGATGTTCTTGAGACTTTATCTGTGTCTGATAAGGTACTGTACTGTAGGTAACTGCGTATGGAAAAAAAAATATTTGTGAACCTCCCAGTTCTGGATTTGAAGGCACGATTGATGCTGTCTTTGTACCAGCAAAGATACCAGCAGCTGTTTGCTCAGATTATGCTTCCTGAGTATCCTCAAGAAATGTGTGAGCTGCTGGGCCTTCCTGATAACTGTTGAACAGTCATGGCTATATAGTGAGTGGGGGGGGGGGGGCTCAGCACACAACCCTGTGGTGAGCCAGTGCTGAGTACGATGGTGGAGGAGATGTGGGAGCCCAGTGTGAGGAAGTCCATGATCTAGGTGGGGGTGAGTGGAGAGCCCTACCTCCAGCAGCTTCCCAATGAGAATGGCCCGTATTAAAGTGCTAAAAGCAGAGCTGTAATCCACAAAAAGCATCTGCACATGGGACCCTCTGTGCTCCAGATGCTGCAGTGCAGTGTGTAATGTGATAATGACGGTGTCCTCTGTGGACCTGTTTTCCTTGTAAGTTAATTGGTGGCTCTCAAAAGTGGGAGAGAGGCTGTTCTTGCTGTGCCTCAAAACCAGTCCCTCGAGGCACTTGGTGACAATGGGTATGAGGGCAACTGGCCTACAGTCATTTAGACTGTAAATCAATGGCTTTTTGGGGACTGGGATGATGGAAATGAATTTCCTCTTGTGGTGACCGAAAAAATAGTGGCTGGAATGTCAGCTATTCAAGTGCAACTTCCTGGTGTGAATTTCAAGGTTCCCAACTTATGTGGATGGTGGAACAAGAGAAGAGCTTACTATTGCTAATTCCCTATAAGATACAGATACTGCTGATAACCTTGACAGTTTCTTTCGTTTATAAGAGGGGGGGGGCTTCACAGCCTAACGTCAGAACTTGAGATGAAAAAACAACAACACTGTTTAGAAGACATATTTAGAAGAACTACTTTTAAATGCTCGATCCACAAAAATACACGATTTGTCCTGTATTTTTGTACACCTTCCCAATTCATCACATTTGTACATTTTGTTTGGATATATAAAAAAATGGAAATGGCTAATTTAGTGACTTTTCTCCTACTGTCAACCCTGTTCCAGAGAAATAATGTGGGACGCCTGTGTTGTAAAAACATGCTGATTCATCCGCTGATCCTGACTTTCTACTGCCCTTACACAGCAGCTGCCTTCGAAAACGCCACATTCAGCAGTTCTTAAATTACGCTTAGCAGTTAGAGAAACAGAGAAACGTGCACTCAGTAAAAGACTGATGAACATGCAGACAAATTTGGTATCTCTGCATAACAACCTTGGAGTATTTTTAAACTGTACAATGTCCCAGACATAACAAGAAATCTCATTGGGAATGAAGGACGTAGGTTTTAACTCACCCAGCACCCATTTTTCATACATCCAGGTATTCTTCCTTTTCCCACGGTTTCTACGGAACTGCAACAGGCTGCCGTCGCTGTACAGAGGGGCTGCGGCATACAGGTCCCCATCTGGTAAAGAACGTTTTGATAGAATGATGTCTCAATCAGACGTAAAGTAGCACAGTTTTTATGACAATGATACTGTAAATTGTAGCAATGTATGCTACTCTTGGGTGACATACCGGCTGCGAGTGTTAGGAGGTTTTGAGACACGAAATACGGTGAAATCCCTCTACCGCTGAAACCCGCAGAAATAGCACTAGTTTGATTTTCCGCAGGAGGGTACTTAAAAAAAACAAACAGAAATTTACATGTTAATAAAGCAGTATATTTCATCAATTATATTGTTGGACACAATAAGTTACCTTTTGAAAATTTAAAAACACACTTTTACTGTCACTCCCGCTCCGGTGTGCGTGCCTTTGGGGGGGGTTCTGTCACGCCCGGCTCATACGATCCTCCTGTGTGCCACGCCCCCCTCGTTAACCTCATGTGAAATCCCTATGTTACCAGCTGTTTCTTGTTGTTTCATTAAGTCCTGTGTATTTAAGTCCACGTCGGAGTATGTAGCCTCAGTTCCGTCATTGACGTCGAGTGCCGTGTTTTACCTGGTCTGCTCGTTTTACCTAATATAATACCGTGGTCCTGAATCTCTGCTCCCTGCTCACCGATGCAATAAAATTTCTCAATTTTAATGATAATTAATTGTTTTAATAATGTGTTCTTCCCAACATCACTGGCCCAAAGCACTTGCCAAAGAGTCAAAAAGTGCAACTAACTAAAAAAAAGACTATGTGTTAATAGTTAACCTCTCCATATATGGGCAAATGTGTCCGTGGTAAAAAACCATGTAGGCCCTGTAGCCCATGTTTTTAAATAGGTCTATGATGTGTGTGGTACAAACTATGTAGCCCACGTTTATAAATATGTCTGTGGTGAAAACTCCATTTTGATTGCATCCTTTCTTAGAATTTGCCATTTGGTGTTGAGCCCTGTTTCTGCCACAAACTTAATTAAAAAAAAAAAAAAACTGCAAAAGTATAGTACTTTTATGGATGTCTTTCAGCTGCCCACTTTATCATTATTAAAGTGTGTATTAAGACCCGACACAACTCTTTATTACTTCAAATAAACACAATTAGTAGCCCACACTGAAAAGATCTTGACTAACCAGCTTCCAACATTGAGGCGTGTGTCCATCAGTACCACATAGAAACAGGCTATCCTCAAACTGCTGGATAACGGTAGTCATGTAGCTGCAAGAAATCTGGAAGAAAGAATTGTCATCATTTCAGTCAGATGCATTTCCGGAATATCGAGAGAACACAGTCCATTTGGCTGTTTTACTCTTACTCCTTATCACCAAGCAATACTGCAGGAAAATCTTACCTCATTCCAATTTTGTCCATCCCTGGGGCAAAGTGAAAAGTACTGTAGAAGTAACATAATCAGTATTAACAAAACAGTACATACATGCATCTTTAAAGTATTTATAAATATCTTATACTGCGCAGAGATGCCATGCAAGGACATTGCATTTGCCAGCTACTGCGGTTGCAGGTTTGTACGTCAATGAAAACATCTGTCTGAAAAATTTATAAGGCTCAGGTGTCACATCTGCTGCCTCGGTGCTGAGTGATTCTGAATGAGGCTCTAGCAACACAATGGAGTGGATAGAAAAAAATAACTTAATTGTTTGGTAACAGATTCAATAAATGCATTTTTTCCTGTAGCCTGACAACAAATAGATAAGCATTTTCAGCTAGAAGAACCCACTGTCATGGCACCACATGGCACTTTAATCAGTATTACTCATACTGTGAACATTCTATGGACTTCTTTTTTATCTTACTCAAACTTTACCTACTTTTTATATTTATTTTATTATTACATTACACTATATTTTATTTTATATTTCATTTTTATTTGATTCTACCATTTATATTCTATTCTATTCTTTTAAATTACCTACTTTATTTTAGTTAATTACTAGACTTAGTTTTTTCTCTTCCCTAATGTTGCTTTTCTTATATGCATCTGCTGGTTTCTTTGCTTCAACGCTATCTCGCTGTACTTGTATAGTGACAATAAAGACATCTATCGATCTATCTATCTATCTATCTATCTATCTATCTATCTATCTATCTATCTATCTATCTATCTATCTACTGTATCTATCTGTCATCCGTCATACTGTGCCATACTATACAGTACCATACTGTGCCATACACAGTGAAAGAAAATGTTTAAGACTATTTATCTTGGTAGTAATTGTATATTTGGTCAGGAAAAATTTATATGAAGATCATTTAAATATCAGTTTCTGTGACTACCTAAGACTTTGTAATAATTACCTGCATAATGAGCTTCTTCTCTAAGCTTATCCTTAAAACCAGGTGCTTTGCTCCAATATATATATCATCAGATCCCTCTTCATGAAATAACACTGTGTTATGTGTTCCATTATACCGCACTCTGTCTTCACTGTCTGAAGAAAGAAAACATCCATAGTTTCTATCACGTCAATTACATGGTCTTCTCTACAGCAGGGTCAGCGAAACAAAACAAAACAAAAAAACAACAGTCTATTGAGGTGCCAGCAGTATCTCGCTGTGTCGTATTTCGCGATCTGCTTATGGCAAAATTCAATATTCTTTGTTAAATATTCTTTACTTAAAAATGTATTCCCTTTTCAAACTCAAAAACATCACGTCTTAAATAGAATTAACGTAGATTTTGGATATATTTACAATGAGATCACCCATAATACATAAGATCCCTAACCTTCAACATTTCAAGTACGTGCAAACGCTATTTGTAGACGGCCATTCAAAGACAATTACGCTAGTTAGAAAAATAATAAAGACAAACGGATTAGTTTCTAAAACTAGTGACAAATTTCCGATAGCCTTAAACGTCAGATATGTTCGAAATTTACCACATACCTTGATGCAAGGTGAGTCTGGGTTCATAATTCGTGAAAGAAGCACAAAAACGTGAGATAAAAAGAGAGAGAAAAGTCAATGTGACTTCCTTCATGATATCTACCAAAATTTAATTTAGTAATAACATAATTTAGTACAGCCTTAGATACGCAGGACAGATGGTGGGTCTGCAGCTGACGCGACGTGGAGAGAGATCTGTGACCCTGCGCTGGTCTTGCTAAATATGTAGGAGGCTGAGCTCCGACGCAAGCAGGTAGTGCTGTGTCAAATTTCCCCGTTTATTTGCTTTCATTTTACTTCATATTAGTTATCTCCACTTTACAATGCATGTAAGGGAAATATCAAAGACATAACTGTGAAAATCAGTTATGCATCCACCGTCTCACAATAATAATTATTGTTGTACTTTATTAATTCCTGTGTCTGAATTTCTCTTTTTCATAATTCAGGCCCTTGGCCTCTAGAGACACACAGTCAGTCAGCGTTCAGCTGGCATTGAACGTTATCTTGGTGGCAGCATTTGCCGACTGTGGGAACCCCCCCCCCCCTCCCCGTGTGTGAGCCCCTCCCGCCTTGTCCCCCATTTCACTGATAAATTCCCAGGAAGACATATACCCACAGTTCACTGTATTAACTTAATACCGTCTAAGCCAAGGTCAGCCATTGAACGGACTTTTAACACACATAAAAGAAAAAAATACTTTTAAATGTGACAGTATTATTGTATATGTGCAAAATTCAAGTCTTTAAGACTTTCAAGACTTTTTCTATTCAACAATTAATCACATTCAGTCTCTAACCGCTCCCACAAGGTCCTAATGGTGGTGTGATTGATCTGCTGGGAGTAGAATCAACTCAGCAATATTTATAAATCATTTAAAATTTATGTAAAAATGTGAGGTTTTTGTTTAGTCTTCAGTTGATGGTTTTTGAGTTAAAACTCCTAGTCTACAATTGAACTTGTATTTTTTTGGGCTCGGACTTGGCTACCCAGCTCTGGCGATGGACTCAGTCTTGTCTCAGACTCACTCCCTGTTGGACTCGGTCTTGACTCAGATTTGATTTGTTAAAGATGTGGTCTTGACTCAGACTTGACTCAAACACAACACTTCTTCCACCTGTTGGCTGCTACATTTTTATGTCTTATTACATATTATTATATTATTATCTCCCTGTAATTTTCCATACAAGACACTAATAGACCAACTTAAAAGATTTCACCTTTCATGGTCTGTTGCGCACAATGGTGTGGGCTTAAGCCTTAAGTACCACAAGGATAAGAACTTGCAGAAGCTGTTTCTGCCTTGCTCCGGCACGTACACTCAGATAATGTTGTCTTAAATCAGTTAGTTTGTTGGACGTGTTTCCAGCAACATACAGAAGTTCGGTATAACTGAGCAGACTGACAATCTTGCTCTTATCAAGTGTTCTTCTCTCCAGTGGTGGAGTAATTAATTGGGAAACCAAAATGTTGTAGAACTGGCGATTATAACTGATTGTAACTAGCATGAGCCATAATCAGGTCACAGTCACAATCAGCAAAATGTTTTCCATGTAGAACAGATACTTTTGAATTTAGGTTCCACTCATGTCAATAAAAATCATTTCATTGTCCATACCAAACTGAAAAAGACGTATTGTACATGATGAATATGGCCTATTGCTAATCGTCTTAGGACCAGAATCAGCCTGCATACAAACAACTGGCTCAGCCATTCCCTCTAGGCAGCTAAACAAAATGACAACCTCTATCTAAATGACATTTATTCCGGTTTGTGATACAACATATTTGCAACCCCCACAGCCATGCATAACTCACCTTTATTAGGTAATTGCTGCTCATACACTTACCGTAAGTTATAATCTGTATAGTGCAAACACTGCAGAGCATGGGGCGTCAACTTCTGAGGGGCGTTGACTTGCCAGGCAATTTCACTTTGCTTCAGATGGGGGTGCCTATGCTCGCCTAGGGCACTACATTGGCTAGGACTGCAATCGACACACTGTGTCCCTATTCGGGGGTTGCATCCTTTGAGGGACACAGTTGGTGTAGCCAGTGTAGGTCGTGTTCTTCTAAAAATCTGCACAATGAATCTTGGGATAGATGCATCAAGTCATCAACATCATCCAGCATGACCAGTTTGGTGGTGGGTTAGTGATGGTCTGGGGAGGCATATCCTTTGAGGGTCACACAGACCTCCATGTATTAGCCAACAGTACCCTGACTGCTGTTAGGTACAGGGATGAAATCCTCAGACCCACTGTCAGACATTACACTGGTGCAGTGGGCCATGGGTTCCTCCAGGCACAGGACAACGCCCAGCCTCAGGTGGCCAGAGTATGTAGGCGGTTCATGGATGACAAAGGCATTGATGCCATCGACTGGTTCCCACATTCCCTAGACCTGAATCCACACTACTGCATGAGTCACATTATGAGAATCTGTGATGTCAGCTTTTTACTTTACTTTTTAGTGTGATTTTGAATGCAGTCCTTATTGGGTTAATAAGTTTGGTTTCCAATGACCATTCTTACCTCCTTTCGTATATATATATATATATATATATATATATATATATATATATATATATATATATATATATATAAGTAGCTCTCGCTGCTAAAATGGTTGGGCACCCTAAATTTGTTATGACGATCTGCTTAACACACCTTTCAAATTAAGTTAGCATCCAGTTTAACTTCATTAAAATTAAGATGTACTGTTAATGTGCAATGTTACAAATGGCGGAATATGCAATACACTAAGAATATGTTTAAAACATTATCAGTATTACACTGTAAGTAATCTTGGTTCTAGAAACACCTACTAATCAATGGCGAAATTAACAGCTACTAGAGCACGAATTCCTATGTCGACGTTATTTTTAAAGCCGGCTGTTACGTCTTTTTCATACAATCTACAGCATATAAGTTCATCCCAGTGTCTACATGGCATATACTGTAACGCGACGATCACCGTGATTCTGAAAATAATATGAGCGATTATGGAAGATTCGGTTTGCAGGTTTAATAACTCCGAGTTAGACACCAGTCGTCCAAACCGAAGAGAAATCGGTCAGCTGATTAGCATTTGCCGAAGACTAGAAAATGGTACGTCTTGCGTTTCTGATTTAAATGTTGTTCTTCGTTAATTATAATGGAGTGTGTAGCCGTAGCTAGATGACAGCATGAAGGTGTTATTAAGGTTTTTTTTGTGACATGAAGCCGCAGGAAGTGCTGTTTTTCGGTTGACTTCTGTGGCCGACTCCCTGTAGCACCATGTTTTCCGTGTAACAATTGCTCGAAAAATGTGGTACATAATGTCTGACAGACATACTTTTTCCGTTCTTTAGAGGTTTCGCTTTTGCGGAGACTTGGACTGTCCGGATTGGGTGCTTGCAGAAATCAGCACTTTGGCGAAAATAGTTAAGTCAATTGCACTTTCCTTGTGGGATATATTGTGGGATATATTGTGGGATGTACGTAACTTTCTATGAAACTGCACCTGTGGTCACAAGTGTCATACGTTCTTTTCTGTAATAATAGTAATGATCATGACAGTGTCATTTGAACCAGGTGTATCTATGTCTTGCAGTCCAGCGTAAAGATGAAACTTCTTTGTGTCCAAGTGCTGAAGGATCTGCTTGGAGAGGGCATTGATGTAAGTAGCTTATGTACCCCTTTTTAGCTAATGACCTGTTTGCTACTAAGGATCAGGTTTGCACTGATCAAGCTAAAATGATTGTCAGTCCTTAATTTAAAGTCTTTCATTGCTTTTCAGTATGACAAAGTGGCAAAACTCACTTCAGATGCAAAGTTTGGTAAGTGCAAGGGCCGCTTTTGCTTTAGCATTTTTTTTTTTTTGCTTATTGCATTGCCTGGAAGTGATTTCTACCAAGGACTGTCTGACAATATTACATCCTTCTTGCAGAGACTGGTGATATAAAAGCTAGCGTGGCAGTGCTGAATTTCATCCTCTTTAGCGCAGCTAAGAATGATGTGGACAGTGAGTCCCTTTCCAGTGAGCTGCAGCAGTTGGGCCTACCCAAAGGTAATCTCCTTTTTGTTAGTCAGCTCTTAATCTCCTGCTGTTTATGCTGCTATTTTTGTTTATGTGCTGTATGTAGTTACTTCATCCATGGGGCTCGACCGGCCATTGAATTTAGTTCAGGACTCTGTTGTAGAGGCTGACAATTCTTCGGGAATCCTGTGGATCACCCTCCCATCTACGCCAGATGTGTACAATATCTCTGATATATTTGCTTGATGCACATCTTGTCCTCCACTGGCCATTAAACTTTTGTAGGTTTTTCAAGGTTGCCATTGCAGGGCTCCAGACTAACTTTGTCCACTAGTAGCACTCGTGCCGTCTACTGAATTTTAGGGGCACCAGCACAAAATTTAGGCGCATTCGTTTAATTGAGTATTTTTAAAGCCCTAAATCGATTAGCCCCTTTTTGCATATCAAATCCAGCACCAGCAGGTCATCTGAGTAGCCTCTTCTGGCTGTGTCCCTTGTAAGAATTTTTAGAAATATTCTTTTATTTTGAAATGAGGTATTCTGTGTGAATAGGCTTAGGTGAACACTCTGTTAAAAAGTGTGCTTTCATTTTCTATCCACTGAACGTCCATATGTCTTATGGAGAGAAGGGAAGTACAATTTCCCCCACAGGGATGAATAGAGTGTTACTATTTTTTCCTCCTTAAATGTATTTTTGGGTGATTCACATCCGTCTGATTCCCTCCCACAGAGCACGCCACGGGTCTGTGCAAGTCATACGAAGACAACCACTCTGCCCTGCAGGACAGACTGCGGGAAAGCAGTCTGCGCCGTGAGTAACTGACCACGTGCCACATAAGGTCCCCAGCTGGTTAATCAGATTGTCTGTGGGGGAAAAATGACCGCTACATGGTGTGACTGGAACAAGTTCTGGGAGAGATTTAATAACCGGTGATGTAGATGATTATTTTGGTGTGTAGTTCCCGTTGAGCTGCTTGAGTTCTGGGTAAACAACTGAGTGAGTCAGATGCTGGTTCTGTCTGATATCTGTGCCGTCAGCCTAGCTGTGAAAGATGGCTGTGCTGCTGTATTGCAGTGAGTCGCCTGGAGGACGTCTCATGGCGTGTGGACTACACACTCAGCTCCAGTGAGCTGAAGGATGTCCGGGAGCCCGTGGTCCAGCTCCGGCTGCGGGCCCAAGGCATCGATCCGGGCTCCACACAGTCGACTGTATTCTCTGTTAGTGCGGACAAGTTCAGGGTCTTGCTGATGGGTGAGCACAGAGGGCCTCATATACATTTACACGTACCTTCATTTTGCTTGCAGTATTAAGAGTTTCCTGTCAGATCATTGGATACATTATTTTTTGTTTGCGTGGGAAAAAATAGCTGTTTTTTTTTTCCCCCTCAATTTCAGAACTCAAGCAAGCCCAAGCCTTGATGAATTCCCTGCACTGAAGGAAGCACCCATTTGCACTTACAAGTTTTCATCTAGAAATGCACTCATTCAGTTACATTTAACGACAGCAGGTTCATTAAGGCAGCTGGCGAATGGTGGTATTATTTCTGTGTAGGAGAAACTGCATAAAAGCAGTGTAAATACGTCAGAAGGTAATTTAATTCATACGTGGATGAAGAAGCTTTTTCAGGAAAACAGATAGCAGGATAGATAAAGAAACAGACAATTCAGAAAACTGTAGTACAGTTCAAGGTACTTCTGCTGCTATAAACAGTTGTTTTATTGTTGCATTAAAAGGTTGTCTAAGGATCAAAATAAAATTAATTTTGGGTAGAGATGGGCTTGCAGTGGGTAGGTGCCTGTCCACCTGCAGCACTGTCTTTATGGACTGGTGCTTTAATCTTCTGTTTATCTTATTACAGAGTGCATGTCTCTGTTACCCAGCAAGGCAGTTCAGTTCAAGGGTAGGACTAACGTCATGGAAACTGCGACGTAGGATCTGACTTGCTGTGTTATTGGATGTGGGATTTGAATTGTTTCAGCAGACTTAAACTTAGGGAACAATTGATTTGGTTGAGGTGTCAAAATCTTGGTGAACCCGTATACATTCTTCTGCTAACAAAAACTGCTTTGTGATATAGAATGCAATTCTGGTTATTTATTGTAAAACTCATTTCCTAAAAAGCAACTGAGATGCCACAAGAATTCAATTTCATATTGACATTTGGCATTATTTAGCTATTTCATACATTATACATACATTTCATACATCGTTTTTTTCTCCATGCAATTAAAGATGTCTGTATGTATACAATATCCACAGCATATCATTGGCTTTTCTTTGTAGAGTTGTATTGTGTATGCACATTATTGTAGTCAAAGTAATTGTCCAAAAATGAATTATTGTAAGTAATGTTTAGAGACCCTAAGGGTAGCTGTTTTAACATGATGCGCTGTTGAACATTGGAGGAGTGCCCAACTTTAATTGCTATGATTAAAACTAAAATAATAGAAATTAAATTAAAAATGAGAGTTTCGACCAACACTATATCCGCAATGTCACCAATTAAAATGAGCTGTTAATTACTGGTCCGTTATTTTCTGCTGGGGTGGGACTTCCAACAAAGTGATTGATATTCTCGGTGTAGCCTATATGTCCATTGCCTGTACCTTATTGCCTTTCTATTGATCCAAGTATTTGACTTTTTAACAGAACATTACTGTATAAATATTTACATTTAGACGACGTAAAATTTGATAACTCGCTTGAAACTTCTGTATGACATCGGTTAAATCTAATTTGCGGGTTTAAGTAGCTAGGCTGCCCCTAAAAACAGACTCCATTGATTTAAACATTTATTTTCTTAATTTTATAATGAATAAATATTAATAACGATAATTCGATGTGCTTCATAGTCTTTATTTTCCAAAGACAGCTACCGTGGGAATGAAATAGCATAGGGGGGATGTAAAAAAGTTTAAATACACGAAGGAACAGAAAACTACAACTACCGAAGTGCCTACACGCCAGTTATTTACACTGGCCGACCGAAAGTCTATATTCAGTGCAGGAAACTCGGGCTCTTGGTAAGAAACTTACAATGTTTATACCATCGTGAACTAGAAACATACCTGAAAGCAATTAGTTAAATACTGAATTATATCAGAAGGCTTTTACTGAATGTAGGGTACCTGTATGATATATGTTTCCCTATTCAGTCGCTAAGCCATTACGGTAGGCAACGTCTTAAAGCAGGGCACACGACTTCAAGTATCATTTTCACAATTAAAATTTAATTCTTGTAATCATTTTGCGTACATGATATAGGTTGAGCATAGGCGACGATGAAATGTCTTTTCGTTTTGTGATTGCGTTCAGAAATCTATCTTAGGTTTGACATGTCAAGCATGATACGGAGGTTTCAAGTCCGTGAGGTTTCTGGTATTTTTTTTCTTTCGGAAGTGAGTTTATAGACTTCGGAGCCTCTTTGGTGTCATGGTAGGAAAAGAAAAACAACTCGTGATGTCTGACTGATGGTTAATTTGATGGAACGAATTAGTAACTCGAGATCACGAATTTCGACGAGATATTTTTTTCTACCATGACACCTAAGGGTCTCCGTATAAACTTGTTTCTACGAATGCGTTTGTAATTGATGTCCTGCAATGCTGTCCACCCCTTATTAGCCGCTGCCGTTCGCTGTGAGACGATGCCGGAAGGCCCGGAGCTGCACTTGGCCAGCCTGTTTGTGAACAAGGTCTGCACCGGCCTTGTGTTCACTGGGGCCGTGCAGAAGTCTGCTATCAGCAAATGTCCCGAAGTGCCCTTTACATCTGATGCATACAGCATCACTGCCATCTCCCGTGGGAAGGAGGTCCGACTGACCCTCAACCCCATCCGGGCTGGGAAGGTTAATCGTGCTGTGGCTCAGTCCATGGATGTGGTCTTCCGTTTCGGAATGTCAGGTTACTTCTCCTTCAATAAGGTGGAGGAGCTACCCAAACACGCCCATCTGCGCTTCTACACCAAAGAGAAAATCCCCAAGGTGCTGAGTTTCGTGGACCCCCGCCGGTTTGGCAGCTGGCAGCCCAATGGAACCTGGCAGGCAGAGAGGGGGCCTTGTGTGATGCTCGAGTATCAGCAGTTTCGGTTCGAACCACCATTTCCTACAGTCAGTCACGTGTGTGCACTGTAAAACTGGGAGCATTTATAATTATCAGTTATAATGCATAACTATAATGCATAATATAAATGCATTCTATTCTAATTATGAGATGGTCTGAACAATGCTTAAATTAAGGCATCCCCAGATTATTTTTGGATCCCCCAATTATCTTTTACAATAAGGTATATTACCATTTTTGTATACTTCTTTTTAGCAATAATGTTTTATTTGCCTTACTTTGTCACTGCTGTTGTGGGGTTTTGAGCACAAGTTTTTCTATTCGCCCACACTTGCCAAGTGTCAAGTTATGGGGCATAAAAAGTGAATATATTTTTGATTTGATTTGACCCTGCAGGCTCAACGTTCTATCACACCTGTCAGACCGTTCATTTGAGAAGCCTATCTGTGAGGCTTTGCTCAACCAGAAGTACTTCAATGGTATAGGGAATTATCTACGAGCAGAAATCCTTCACAGGTGAGCCTGAATGCAAAGCGTTTCTTACTCTAACTTGTAAGCTTATTCCATGCCATGATTTGATTTCCTGACCATCCCACCATTTCCAAATACGTAGACCTCTCCAGTGACTGCTTTCCCCTGCTGTCTGGTTCAGTCATTTAACTCCCAACTATAAGCTTTGCTGGGGGTGGATAATAATTAGTGTCTCCCTAAGAAAAAAAATCATAGGAAACCTGCCAGGTTGGTGATTCTGATCCCACCTCCTCTCTGTTTGTGGAGTTCACATGTTCTCTCTGTCTTGTCCTATGTTTGTATCTATATTAATCTATATATTTTTTATTGGACAGGCTCAACATACAGTATAGTTTTAACTGCGTGTATTGCAGTTATATTGCAGGAATAGAGTGTTTTCCCTGGTTTAAAATGAACCTACAACTTCAATACCATTCTTCTGACGTGCAGGAGGCATTACAGTGATCTAACTCCAGTCATAATACAAACAGCACAAATACACAAGATGAAATAATCCTCTAAACTCCTTACTCCTTAAACAGGCATACTGAGTTCAGCCCTGTAGCTAATTGCTATTTTTAATGTAGGGGTTTTAGTTCCTTGATCCTCTGAGTCCAGCTTTGTTTGGCTGCGCTGGATCCCTGTTTTAGATTCCACCCTTCTTAGAAAGCTGCTGAATGTGACTTCCAAAGGTCCTTACGGGTATCAGCACACAAGTGGAAGATGTTGTAGTCATTTTTTCTTTATCATATATCTAGCTGAATCTCTGTAAAGGCTCAGAATTATAATGGAACCTCAGCGTTTGTGTTGTGGAACTTGCTTTTTCTCTCCTTTGGCTGCTGTGAAAGTAGTTCTGACCTGAGTAGCATTTCTGCTGTGTACATTGCACTAGACTAAGCATCCCACCGTTTGTCAAAGCGAGGAATGTACTTGAGAGACTTCAGACAAAGGAAGCGTCCGGGGATGAATGGAAGCTCAGTGAAGATGAGGTGACTTATAACTTTAAAAGAAAGAATGTTGTTTTGTAATGTTTACTCTCTGTTAGCTCTCCAAACATCTTGCTGTTTCTCCCAGGCGCCCAACGAGAAGTTGAGGACGGAAACAGCTGACCTTCTGAGCTTGTGTCACACAGTCCCGATGGAAGTGGTGAACTTAGGTAACAAGATAATCCTCAGTGTTCAGGTCAAAATATTTAGGGAAGAGGGTGTATTATTGAGAACATTGCACATCTACAACTGCAGTAGATTTATTATTAAGCAGTATATTAAGGACTGCTTCATGCCAGTACTGCCAGCAAACCCTTATAAAAAGGAGGAACATTAAATTGCTGTTTATTTGTACATAAATTAAAAATGTTTACCTGGTTAATTGTGTTGATTGCTAATTTAGTTATTACTACATAGAACTTGTAATGACCTTATCAATGGTCAATGCTTATTCATTGTAATTGCAAATTAAAAGTAAATAAAAATATTTTGTAATTATCCACTTCTATTTATCTTTCTTAAGGGTTTCTGTCTGTTCATTTTCGCTCCGATTGTGTTCCAACTCGCTAGGTGAGAAGGGATACGAACCAGCCAAGAAAGATTACTCTGTCCTTATGGCATGGATGCAGTGCTACTCAGTAGAAGGCATGATGTCACTGAGAGACCACAATGGCAGAACGATCTGGTTCAAGGTAAGAAATGAGCCGTTTGCACCTAACACACAATTAGCCAAATTGAAGGGTGTGGCTGCTATTAAAAAAAAAAAATAAATGTCTGTTACAGGGTGATGCTGGTCCCATGGCACCTAAAGGTGAGATTAATATATAGGCTATATATAGATATCACGAGTTGTTTATAGGGGGGGAAAACAAATAGTTCAAATTGCCAGGTGCAATCTTATTTTCATTGTAGGACGCAAGTTGGCAAGAACCAAAAAGAGAAAACTGAAAGACGATGATGACGACAATGGGGTAATAAAGGCAATAGGGTAATTTTATTCCTGCACACATGGGATTGGCTCTGAGGTTGTGGTGCTGACACCTGTGTGATGGCTTGTTTTGTCAGGTTGCTAAAGACAAGCCTTCAAAAAAACTCCCTAAAGGAAGGAAGGGAAAACCGGGAAATGGGTGTAAAAAGGCCGAGGTTAAGCAGGAAATCCGGCAATGGCGACGTGCGGCGAGCCAACCAGGAGTGAGCCGGCAGAGCAGCCGGCGGATTGTGCGGCTAAAGCGGAACAGCGGCTCAGCGGGACCAGCCGGTGAGAGTCCCCTTGCCTCAGCTGCAATGTACCTGACATGGTGTGGCTGGACCCTAAAGGATCCTCATTTCTATACATCTTAACATATTTCAGTGAACAAAATGACCCTTTCTCCAACAAAACAGTTCATTCTTGTCACCATAAAAAACATTTTGAGTAAAATTCTTCCTGGTACATTGCTGCTAGCTGCTTGACAGTAATTGGGATTCTGTTACATTCCTGCGCATGTTACATATTACATTGGATTTATTCCAACCAGCAGACACTTTCATCCAAAGTAACATACATCTGAGAAAGCAAGGTTCATCCCTGGAGAAATTGGGGACATGGTCTTGCTTAAGCGGTGAAAATAATCTGTCATTCAAAAAGATTTGAACTGGCAGCCTTACAGTGATGCGCAGAGCCGCACAGCCTTGCTGCATAAGCCACTGTAGCTGAGGGTATCCAGGGTGGGGCTGCCAGCCCCTCTGTGATAGTTGCCTTGTGTGGGGCTGTTCAGGATGCAGCTGCTGAGCCGAAGGCCAGCTAGGATGGACAACTAAAATGTGTTTCCAGTGTTTCAGCGATGAGGCAAAAAGGAACTTGATGATGCTTTGATTACATGGTCATCAAGGACTCAGAACCATTTTTGGCATGTGAAGATGAGTGATCAATGGCCTTTGTGCAGAAGCTTGACCCCCAACTATATACAGTGCCTTGCAAAATTATGGTGTGCATAGGTATTCACTACACAAATTCAAAACTTTGTAGAGCCACCTTTTGCTACAATTACAGCTGCAGCTCTCTTGGGGTATGTCTTTGTTAGCTTAGCACATCTAGCCTCAAGGCATAACAGCTCCAACTCGTTCATGCTAGATCGTTTGCGTTGGTGTACAGCAATCTTCAAGTCATGCCACAGATTGAGGATTGTGGGCTGGACTTTGACTAGATCATTCCAAAACATTTTAGTCTTCAGTGTAGCTTTAGCAGTATATTTAGGGTCATTGACCTGTAGATTGTGAACCTTCATCTCTTGTCAGATTTGTCGTGGTGCCATATTCTTTCTATTTTGCTGTAATGGAATAAATATTGCTCCGTGGGATATTGAAGGTTTGGGATATTTTTTATAGCCATCCCTGATCTATACTTCTCCACAACTTTGTCTCTGACCTGTTTGGAGTGCTTCTTGGTTTTCATGTTTGCTTGCTTAGTAGTGTTGCAGAGTCAGGGTCCTTTCAGAACGGGTTGATTAATACAGACACCATTTAACAGACCATGTGACACTTTGATTGCACACAGGTGGATCTTAAACAGCTAATCTTGACTTAGCTATTTGGTTGGACCAACTCTTATTTAGGGATTTCAAAGCAAAGGGGCTGAATACCTATGCACACTCGAGATTTCTGTTTTTAATTATTGTTTGCGTCATAAAAAAATATTTTGCAACTTTAAAGTGGTAGGCACGTTGTGTAAATCAGATGGTGCTAATCCCCCCAAAATCCATTTTAATTCCAGTTTGTAGTGTGACAAAACAGGACAAACACCAAGGGGGGTGAATACTTTTGCAAGGTACCGTACTTCCAAACAAACATGCACTGAAGGAATGGTTGGCAGTAAGTGCAAGCAAACAGGAGAAAGGGTGAAGAAGGCTAATTCTGTAAATGTAACGTCTGACACGAATGCATACCTTGCTGTAACTTGTCATTTCAGTGACAGGAAGGTATCTGCCATCATGTGGGGGGTTTTGAACTTTCCAGAAACACACCCTGCACACGTGTAGAATATCAAGCGTGTTTCGCTGGAGTCATTGGCAATAAGGGATGAAGTGACCTGTCATAACAGGCCAAGCTTAAAACATGACACAAAGCTTCCTCAACCAACACTTGCCATGTTTTACTCACACCCTAAGTCTGGCTTTCACAATCTTTGGATTTGAATGATACTCAGGATCAGACTCGCAGACTTACTTCAGGGCCAGTATGAACGCCACAGAGAAGCTGCCCGCAATCCTGCATGAAGCTCATCTGGGAAATTGATACATCCAGGAAGTGGATCACCACATTCTACAAACTTAAATGGATATATGAGCAATGAGAATCTTTTTTATATATATATAT